TCAAGTGAAACATGTATATGGAGCAAGTAACATCATCACTACATTATAAGATGTTGTAACTGATAGACTAAGGTTAGGATATAAGTACCTCTGGCAGTATGTTCCCCAAGACAGATGTGAACAAGATCAAATGTAAAGTGTGGCCAGACATATGGCCACACACTCCAAAACTACATCCTTGTCTGTCTGAAGATAGAACCCCCAAGTGCAGTACAGAACAGTACAGTACAGTATAATATGGATCAGTACAGAAAAGAACAGTACAGTGCAGTTGTCCCTCATTAATGCTGCAAATGAAATATAATACAGTACAATACAGTACTGTATAATATAGATCAGTACAGTACAGGGTTACAGCTTCATATATAACAAAGACAATGTTGAATCTTAGTCAAACAAACACTAAAACAGTCACCAGGAAAGTGATCTGGACAATAAATACTGACTCCAGTTTACTGTATACACAATGTAATATACTAGTGACCCAAAATTATATATAAAATACTCGTCTCTGAGTTATTGGCAGTCACCTTCAACCCTTGCCATCATGTTATTTAATAATATTCTATCTAGACTCATTTTCAGCAATAAATAAAGTCATAAAACAGTAAATTACCATAAATATTACCTTGGCTCCTCCCCGGGCGTCGTCCAGACCAATCTAACATTTGGCTCTCGACTCAAAATATAAACCAGCCATGGAATCATCTTCTCATTGTGCCCATTAAGTTCCATAAATACAAAAACCTATTATTTTAATGCTTCTTTACTCATAATGAATTTTAGGGCAATTACAACAATATTAATTTAAGACATCCACATACAGTATCTGAAGACCAGCCATTACTGTACACATGTTCTACAATATTGGGGTTGTAATAAAATATTCAGCAATAGTTAAATACTTATATCTCATTCAGTAAGATATTTATGTTTGGGGCACATCATGGCCAAACATAAAGTGTATACAGGCAGTCCCCGAGTTACTACCATCCGACTTACCATCACATGCACTTATGAATGGGATCCCAATACATTCACTGCAATTTTTTTAGATTAAAATCCCATTTTTTTTTCATTATTTTATCATTATATATTGTTTAACATCACTTTATTTACATTACTTGTTATGGGATATTATTGTTGTTTTGTATGGGCTTTAACCTAACCTAAACTATGGGTCCAAAAACTTATCCCTGTCGTAAGTTAGGGACGGCCTGTATTAACATAAAACTCTATATTCATGTCCACAAAATTAATGCCATTCTTGTAACATTCATTTTTTAAATACCATTGTTAGATAAACACATGCCAGTACTATTAGGAAAAGTTGTATATAAGAACAGCAAATATCTAAATACTGTGTGTTAATTTAAACAAGTCTTCTGCTTGACATGATCAAAAAACAAATTTTAACCCAGAGTTTCACATTTCAGCATTGGCTACTTTAAGAAAATGATTGCCCAAGGATGAATTTATATATAACCAAGAAGAGTTACCTAACTAAGGATTTCGGATAAGGGATTGTCAACCTGTACTACAGTACAGTATAGGGCTAATGGGAAATGTTGGAGAGGACTTAACAACCAGACTTTTTTCAAAGGCCTTAGCATATGAACAAAAAATAATGGGTAATGATGTACATAAATAATGGACACAAACTCCCTACCAGCACCAGGAGTAGATAGTAGCTACTCTGAACATGTGGTAAACATGGTGTTAACAGCATTCGTGGGTTGTTTTGAAAAATCCTTACATTCACTTTCATTAAAATTTATTGATATTATGCAGCTTCAGCCAACTGAGTACAGTATTACATATACAGATACTGTACCATACTTGATGGCATTTTCAGCTTTCTACAGCAAGTCCATTGGTCTAGAACAGTGTTTCTCAAACCTTTTTCATTCATGCACCCCCAAGGCTGATTTACTTGGCATATGCACCCCTAATCCTTTCAAATCCTAAATAGACCTTTAAACTATATGTACAGTTGCTATATACTGCAGCTATACAGTATACAGTACTGTATAATTATATAGTACAGTACTCCCTCTTTATCGACGGGGGTTACGTTCTGTAGACGGCCGTCGATAAAGAAACCGTCGATACCGTGATGGTTACGTAATTTTTCTAACTATTATTAGCATATGTTGAATAAATGTACCTTTAAGCATTAATGCGTTTCCCTTACACATAACCTTAAATAATAGTGTATAAATAATAATATAATAAGTGGACAAAAATACTAGCAAACTTACGATTTCATTTATTGAAGTGAACATCGGTCCTTACAGTAAACAATACAGTGTACAGTATATACAAGTGTGATGACTGAGGCTTATTAAAAGCCTGACCAGTCAGATGAGTCAAGGTCTGCATCTTCTTGAGGGGTGTGGGCAGGTACTGCGTCTTGTTGTTGTGAGGTGCCGGCAGCTTCTACGTCTTGTTGTTGTGAGGTGTCGGCAGCTTCTGCCTCCTGTTGCAGGATGCCGGCAGGTTCGGCGATGGCAGGCACTCGGCGACTGAAGAAGTTGGTGATGGTGGTCTGTGCTTTCTTGCTTCTCATTTCCCTCTGCAGTTCTATATATGGCAACATAACATTTTCAATAGCTCTCTTTGCTTTAAGGGACCTATCAAGGGAGGGATCAATGTCATAGAGACGAGCAGAGAGGGCCTTACTCATTCTTATTACTTCACCAAGATTATCTAAAGTTAAGTTCTTATTTTCATCATCACTCACTTCATCTTCTGTTTCATCCTGCAGCTCCACTAATTGTTCTAGTTCATCACTTGTAAATGGATCCCCAACATTTCCCAATAACTCTTCTTGCACCTCTGCCGCTGTTAAGTCAGAGAACCCTTCACCTCCAACTTCATTTGCCATAGTTATTATGTTGCGTAACTGAGGCTCGGCTGTTGGGAACCCTGTGAATGTTGGGACAATTTCAGGCCACAATTTTTTCCAACATGATCGGACACAGTTCTGCGACAGTTCATTGTGGCTTTCAGCGATGAAGTTTATGCACTGTGCAATATCAAATTTCTTCCACATTTCTCTGGGTGTCACATCAGCATCCTTATCAAGGCACTCACGAATCATGCTGAAAGTCTTCTCTGCATATTTAGCCTTAAACACGACAATGACTCCCTGGTCCATTGGCTGGATGATGGAGGTGGTGTTTTTTGGCAGGAAAACCACCTCAATGTTGGGGTGGGCAGTCTTGAGTTCTTCAGAGTGGCCAGGGCAATTATCTAGATATAATACCACTTTGAACTCCATGCCAAGTTCATCCAGATAATCTTTCACCTCTCTAGCAAAGCAGTTTTTCAGCCAATCCACGCACAAATCAGATGTCATCCACGCTTTCTTGTTGTTCCTGTAGAAAACTGGTAGCAAGTTCATGTTTTTATTTTTGAGAGCCCGAGGTCGTGCGGCAGTGTATAACAACATGGGCTTAATCATATGCCCTGCCGCATCCCCACGTAGCATCACTGTCACTCGGTCCTTCGCAACTTTAAATCCAGGGGCACTTTTTTCCTCTTTAGAGATGTAGGTTCAGCGTGGCATCTTCTTCCACCATAGGCCTGACTCATCAGCATTAAAAACTTGTTCCGGCCTATAACCCTTTTGTTCTATGTGGTTAGCAAACTCTGCAGGGTATGCTTCCCCTGCCACAGTGTCTGCTGATGCTGCTTCGCCAGTCACTTTTATATTATGCAGCCCATAACGATGTCTGAATTTCTCGAACCATCCTTTGCTAGCTGCAAATTTTTTCAAATTGTCACCATCACCCTGATTATCACCATCACCCTGATTATCACCATCACCCTGATCATCACCATCACCATCACCATGATCATCACCTTTAGAAAACTTATCATAAAGTTCCTTAGCTTTCTGCCTAATAAATTTCGAGTCAAGTGGTATGCGGCGGCGGTTTAGGTCCTCTATCCAAATGTTCAGTGCTTTTTCCATTTTAATGAGGGCATCATCACGCACATGGCTTGTCACTTTTGATGTCACTGGTGCACTTGAAGCTAAAGCGTGCTTCAGATCCTTTGCACGTCGTTTAATTCCACGCACACTGGATTCGTTGAGCCCAAAGTGGCGGCCAACAGCTGCGTAGCTCATACCGCTGTCGAGTTGTTTCAGCACTTCATTCTTCTCATTCAGCGTCAGCACTCGTCTTGCCCTCTTAGGTGTAGATCCAGAGGGAGCAGCAGGTCGTTTGGGAGGCATGGTGATATAAGTTGATGTGATGAACCACCAGCAAAAGTTGAAAATCAAAGACTGTTGCCCACGCGGCTTGGCTGATGTCTGTGTTCAGGGAAGGCGGGCCGCGGGTAGACGCTAGTCACGCCACTAGTGCCACCTAGCGGCGAAAGTACAAACAAGGCCCGCAGAGTTCAAATAAAGCCAAAATAAAAATCCGTCTAAATAATCCGTCGATAATCGAAACCGTCGATAAAAAATCGGTCAATAAAGAGGGAGTACTGTACAGTAAAATATCTGCAATTTGTATTCTTCTAATTCGAAATCCGTCATAATTGGTAATTTTTTGCTGTTATGAAATATATATTAAAAATTTCGTAATATTTGGTAAAATTTTGAAATATGAGACACTTTTACGAATATATACCTGTATGGCGCACACGTCGCCATGGGATGTGACTGCCTGTCTCAGTGTAAACAAAGTCCGACACATTTTTTTCACTTTAGGCAGTACAGTATACTAAATCATATCTTTTTTAATATTGCTAGGGTAGCCTCACCCTTAAAAATATCAGAATTTTAATTTACCATTACCTATATTCTTTGCCATTGATCAGCATGTTAGCCACTTGGGCAGTCAGTCACGTCTCTGTTACACACTGTTGGCAAGTACTAGGCATACACTGGGTCCAGAATATATCTCAACCTGTTCCAGTGTCTGTTAAGTGTTGTCTTAAATTAGCTCACACTCGGTGTCATCACAAGAATTTAATTATCCCACGGCTTAATAAATCATCTTTATTGATAAATTATAAAATAATAATAATTTGATTATCAAAATACTGTACTTCTATATACATATATTAAACAATAGGCTATTAATATCAATATTGTCAGACTAGCATTGTGCCTAGCTAAAAATAATGGCGCCAGAGCTAGTGTAATAGCATTTACAGCCATAGTTTGTCACCACATCTATTCTCTGATTTATCTTAGTTTTTGTGATACAATTTACCAGTGTGCCATGTATCCTTTAAAACCTTGTTGCACACCCCAGTATGAAAACCACTGGTCTGGAATACAAATAGTACCCATACCTCCTATCGATCACTTATTTTAGGCAACAAACTTATCAACAATCTCTTCAAGAAACCATTCATCAGTGAAGTCCAGATGGTCACCATCTTGTGTAAGAAAATGTAGTTTGCCAGTTTCGTCCATCTCTTTCAACCCAAGACGATCCTGTTGCAAATGGGGATAATAGGATGATTTTTATACCACTAAGAGCATCTCTGAACTGTTACAGTACGATTAATATTTCTGGACTCTGGTTAATGGAAAACAAGACTGCATTCCAATGTAAACTAGAATTGGGCTTGTACATTTCTTATGCCAACATTGGCCCAAAAATATTAAGGTCTAATAAATAAAAAAAGATTTAAAAGATGAAAATACTAAACAGTTTAAAAATATAATCACGTACTCCAGGGATAGTCAAAATGGCATACAAATTGTAGCTGCTAACAAACTTGAATAGGCTGTAAAAATGATTATACTGGTGGAAATCATTATGTAGTGGAGACATGTTTTTTCTGAGAGGGTTTCACGTTTCAGGATGGGAGACCAACCACTAGGCCCAACTGGCCAAAATTCCAGCTTTGGGACATTTCTGGGGGACATGCGTACCTCCATGCCACCTTTCAAGTATCATTAAAATTTTACTGAAGACAACTGACCAAACACACAAGTTCTGTGCATTTTTTCCACCCCCCCACACACATGTTGTCTGCAAGTGTATCAACACTTACACTTGGGAAGATCAAGATTTCAGGATTAGACAGTACTACCCACATAATTAATACTAACATAGATAAATTCTATACAAAAAATAAAGTCATAGTAAAGGAAACCAACTGATATGTGGACAAAGAAGGAGAGAGCTGTCAAAACATTCTCCTTTCAATAATTTAAAGGATAGCATTGCACTGACTTGACAAAGCTGTTACATAAACTGACCTCAATGTAGAGCTGAGTTTGCTGAAGTGGCAAGACCTCCACATCCTGGCCTGGAGTGTAGAAGCCAAACCACTCACTCTCCACCGGAACTACCATAGAGTCTGCCAGAAACTTCACCATCACAAAGTTGTCCAACTTGTTCAGGTTTTCACGGTATTTCTCATTTACTACCTGAAGAATGACAATTGTAACGTACATAAAATATGAAATTTGGAGTTGGTGATGCTAAGAGTATCTGAAAAATGCATAAGTGTTCTTTCAATCCCTTTTTATGACTGAACCCATGGCATGGTGACTCGAGTAGTATGTAGTTCACCAAGTAAGTTTGTCAAGGATAGGTAGGACACAGGAACCCCTCCATTAGTGTACCTGGAACTAATCCCAGGATCAGTATAACTCTCCATCACAAGCAGAACCATCAATAAAAGCAAACATCAAGTGTAGGTTGCACTCACGGATAAGAGGGCACGGAGACAGCAAGCCAATATGTTACAAAAGCATGGTACCCTACTCACCAAGGCAAATGGGTTGCTATCTAGGATGGATTCTAGGACAGCCAGTTCAGTTCCAGTTAACTTCTACCACTAACTGGTAGGAGAGGGGGGTGGGATGCATGAGGCACCAAAGTATGGACTCAGTTGGAATGAAGGACTCTTAAAATCAATCTTGCACTTGGTGACTACAACATAGGAGGAGTTGGCTGAAAAGTGATCTAAATGCTGGTGTGACACAGAACACTAAGAAAAAAAAAGCCCTCACAGGAGTAACCCTGTTAACTCTTGGGTACAACCTGGGTAACAGGACCCTTAGAACCGTGCACACAGTTCTTGCAGAAGTTCAGACTTTTATGAAAAAGGTCAAGACACATCTGCTCTCACTGAATAACCCTATCCAGATTTCAACAGTCGTTAAGACTCCAGAAAAGTCCTAATGTGTTCCACCACTGATCACAGAAGACTTTAAATAATTTCTAAGATTGGTAGAACAAGACAGAATATAATAAATTTGGATACAGTAAATTGTTTCTTCAGCATTTGGCGTGCTGGGACACTAACAGTATGACGTCTTGACTTGATAACCCGCTATCTTCCCTGGCTGTAGAGTATTGTCTGGAAGGACAATCTCCACCTCATATGTGATCTTTTTCAAGGCTTGCTTGTGACTGGAAGTTAACTTATATCAATTATACTACTGTTGAAGTTCCTAGGTCCTAACCTCAACAATTATGGTTGGTGTATGATTCAAGTCACCAAGCAGAGGGCGTAAGTCAAATCTTCTGTAAATGTTTAAAATCAATCTAATTATACCATAATATAATATGTATTATAAATTTGGAGTAAGATGGTACAAGAAGAAAACTAAGAAACTCTATAAATAAGAAATCATGGAAAATCAAATGATGGACAACCCAAAACTTATAAAATTTAACTTTTAAACAATACGAGCAATTAAATAAAAATTAAAGGTGCAGTGCAGTACAGTACTGGTATTTAGTAAAAATGCCTCATACAGCTTTTAAATATAACATTACTACATGAATTCAATTTAAAACAGCTCATAACTCCATCTACATCAAGGCTCTGAACTATACTAAATCATCTCGCCACAAGTTTGTCACTCATACAAAACTTAAGATAATTAAGACTTTTTTTTTTATTTAAAAAAATGAAATTTACACAAACCTTTTCATTGTTGATGTCTGCCAAGAATATGGACTTGTTGCAATAGTCTTCAGCATGCAGAGGGTCATGCCAATACTGAGCCTGCACCAAGGAGTTTTGGATCCAGCTGTATAAAAATTAATCTTTGATAGGCAATGATAATAGTGAGATGCTTACTGTACTGTCACCACATATGCATAATTATACATAAATCTAGTTATATTCATGCTTCTGAATAAAGTTCTTTATATTTATACTTCTGAAAAAAGTTTCTGAATCCAAACATGAATGGCACACCTTGGTCACCCATTGTAAAAGCCTCATTTCTACATTTACATACAGTATCAAGAGAGCTTATTACAGTTTCAGTGTATAAAGTAATCTTAGTTTGTGACCACATCATATTCTAAGGTGCAACATGCTCTTCACCTTTATACAGTGCTGTGCTGTACTGTACTGACAAACATACAGGATATCTAAGATTTATTACTTCACTGTATTTAACATTAATCTTGATGACAATTTCTGGAAGGGAACATGTCCACACCATCCTCACCTGACCACTGAGTACCTCAAGTTTTTACAATGTACAAGTTAACTGGACCACCTGTGCTGCAACTGCTCCTAGGGAAAGAATTATTTTACAACCAGTGATCCCTTATGAGAGCCTGTGTTTACCAGTGTTGCTATTAGATCTCCAATACTGTATTCAGAACAACAGACATGTACAGCATTCTTCTTAATGTTTGTTGATTTACAATTAACAGTGTGATATGTAACAATTAATGTACAAATTTGAAGGTTTGATAATAAAAACACTATGGAACAACAACTGCAAAATGGAAACCACAAAATATGGAAGCCAGGGTTAATTCACAGATTAACCTACTCCCCGAGCAGCCATTGTACTCAGAGGGAGATTTTGAACTGAAGTTTCCCATAGGCTGTAAGTCTAATGAGCTGCTGCTGTGGGGGAAGTTGGTTAATATTCAGATTGACCCCAGCCTCCTTAGTGTGGGGTCTTTAAATACACACCCATCTAGCTTTGCCGGTGAGTTACTGTATACAAATTGTTCAACATCACTACATTATAAATGAGGCACCGATTTTGACAAAGGGCCAAGCGCCATCCCCCCAAAATTGAGTTATAGTATTACCTGTGCTCCCCAACCTTTCCTCTATCTGCAGAAAAAACAAACTGTCCTGGTAACACAATATTTGTAAGGCTGAGAGCCATATTGGTGAAGGTAAGTAAAAGCGTCTCTACAGCGCAAGATCTGCGCCTTGAGGCAGACTGAGGGGGAGAGTGTGACAAGCACCTGCAGCCCCCAATCATAGCCTCTCTCGCTCATAGCGACTCATTATTTTCCGGTTTCTTAGCTAATGGGAGTCCATGTTTCTACAAAATGTCATAGAAATGCTATGCAATAACACTTTAACCTTTATTTTTCCAGCTGACAGAAAGGAGGGAGTGAGGGCCACTGAGAGAAAATAAACAAAACAGAGAGGAGGGAGGGCAAGGAGGGTGGGAGTGAGGGTTGGTGGCACATGGTGTGTCATGTTCAGGCCTGTCCGAGTGACGAGTCTTATTGCACCAATAGCTGGGAAACAGAGTGTGGAGGAGGTGGCTGGGAGCGAGGGTGAGGGTAATATTGGGAGAATACAAGTCATTGATTACTGTAATTTTTCTATTAATAACTAAGACTTTAGTACCTGCACCTTTTTTTTATTATACTTTTTGGCGCTTGGCCCCGGGTCAAAATATCAGTAACACCTGGTATTGTTTTCTTTTATGAAAACAATGCAATGACCTTTGACTATCTGGTGTGATCTTAATACATTATAGCTTCTATGTAATGAAAATTATACCTCAACAATGCATAATAATGAAACTGTAGACACTACCCATCAAAAACAATGCAATTTTTACAATGAACAATCTTTTCAATTAATATGACTTCAGTACAGTATCTGAAAATGCAGCTTTAAGAGCTCTACACACTGCCACTTGAAAAAAATCTATCTTCACTGGTTTAAAAAATACGTCACTTTAAATTTTCCAATCTTAAAGTTTTTCTTGATTGTGATTTTCAGCACTTGGCCCCTTGTCCCACTCGACGCCTCAAATCTCAAATGTAGGCATCATTGTGTACTAATTTACAGCTGCTTGTGTCCTAATATAAAATTAATACTGTCCAAAACAGCTGAAAGTATATATTTGTATAAACTAGAGTAGTCATTGTACAGTATATTAGAGTTATCTGTTAGTAAATGGACAATAAACCCTCAATATACATGGTAGTTAGGTACCTTAAAAACACTGCAAAATGAAGGCCCATAAAACTGTTCATGAATGTCCCCATCATTCCAACTCTCTTTTAATGATGCTTTTTCTATGTGCTTTCATTGCATTCTTCTAAAATGTCGTAAAAAATTACCATTCCATTCATGCCAAATTTGGTAATCTGAAGAAAAAAAAAGAGAGAGATGTCATAATGTATGCAGAGAAGCAAGAAAACTGGGAGGTGGACAAAGCAAGAAGGCAAACTGTTGAAATTTACCTCCACCTGAGAAGCATTAAAGAAAGCACTTCATAAAGAAGACAGTATAAGAAGAAAAAAAAGTGTATATCTCACCTTTCACAGCAAAACTTTCTAGTATAAAATGACCAAGATGTATATGAAAGATATAAACAGTACCCAGTGACCATGTATACCAATAAAAATATGTTCAATAATAAGGACTCATGACCTTGCATTTATCTTAATTCGTCCTCATTACTCTTCACTATCTGCACAGTAGACTCATTAAGGTCCAAAGTTCTGGAGACAGGAGGACATTTGGAAGGAGCTGAACAGTAAAGATAAATTATATTGGGAAATTGATGGTTCACTGTACATATTTATCCATTAATCAATGTACAGTACAATGATAATGTACACTGTTATCATTATACTCTACTAATGTACAGTTATATGTGTTGATACAAGACAACCAGTGGTTTTGATACTTACTGAAGATATGATCCATAATTCAGTACCCTGCGGATATATTCACATGTTTGGGACTTCGATGGGTTCTCAGGACAGTGTGGCAAGCCAAAAACACCCTGGTGCTGTCCTCCAAAAGTGATCAAATTCTTCATGGGTGGATTTGAACAGCGTTCCGCCACTGCACGCCTGTACACAACACAACTAACACCATCACCACTAAACACTATAATACCACTAAACACTATAATACCACTAAACACTATAATACCACTAAACACTATAAAACCACTCAATACATAAATACAAACAAACACTAATACACCTTCCTTACCCCGTTACTGTACTAAGGCTAAACCACCATCACAGAACACAAAGCACTGAAACAAAGAATCCCATTTTATGGCCAAGGGAAAGAAACAAGTGATATGTGATACTCCACCAACAGATCACACAGCAAAGCCCGACCCATCAAGAGGATTATCTGCATTCTGGAATCAAAAACATTGTCCTCTTTAATCATTGTAACTACCTGTACTGTACAAACAACCACTTGCCCAGCTCAACTAGCATTTATGAAACACACTCCAACCCTGATCCAGTGGTTGTTCTGAAATCTAGTGAGTTAAAAGGTCACCAGGATAAACCCCAGACAGTGTTCAATTGATTCAAAGCCCAGTCGTAATCTTGGCTTACAGTCTTCATTCCTCCATCCTCTTGTGGACATGGAAACTCACAAAGACTGGGAATAAATGAAATACTCCAAGTCACTTTCAGAAACCCTGATCATTCATAAAGGCAATTGCTTCTAAACTGCCCATAAAAGAAAAAAATCATCCATAACTGGCAAAAAATTCAATTCAGCACAATGATGCTGGTAGTTTAAATAAAAACCACATAATTCATCAGAATTGTTCTCAATGAAAAGAAAAACTTAAATAAGTAGTCATAATAACAGTAATCCAATAAATTAGCAATTACGTACTCTGTAATTCCAACTCCTATAATACAGGAGTACTGTAATATAAGCCAACTAAAGCGTTAATACAGTTTATGGTAGTAATTTATTGTATTTGGATAAAAAGTCAAGATGTATTGTAGGTTCATTAAACACATGTGCCAAACAAAGTGCAACAATAACTATGCACATACCCAACAAGACAGTGCCCTTGCCTCCAGAATGCAGATGGCTGATTGGACATGGCAGGATCAGGCAATGGATGGTGAATCTCAGAGGTCACACCTCAAATGACCTCACAGCAGAACATAACTTTAAAACCACACATTATGAAAACAGCCAACTTCTGATAATCGTTAGATTTTTTATATACCCGTACTGTAGGGGATCTCCGCTTATAGTCATGTGTTCCAGAAAAGCGCGACGTTAAAAGAGAATGCCAATAAACTACCATAATCAATTTTTCCCATAAGAAATAATATAAGAGGTGTTAGATTCCTGGGAAATTTTTTTCACCAGATTAAAGACATGAAAACCTAAGGTCAACAAACAAATTAATACTATATTGTACTCAATGATTGCCTGTATCGCGCCTTAGCTTGTACCACAGCTAGACTGAGATGTACACTACTCTGGTTCTGGTCATCCATCCAAACTATGAGAAGAATTTCCATTTTCTCCATTAACTGGCTTCAGGACCTGCTAATTTTCTTAGCACTGGCCCCTATCTTCTCTGTATTATCCCTAATATTGTACTGTACATTTTATCATGGTGGAAGCAAGCCCAGAGCAACACCAATATAAATAGCTTGCTCAACAGCATCAAAGAGTTTTAAAACATTTAATTTGGAACCTGAGATAAATGTTTTCTGGGTTCTCTTTGTGTTACTCAATGTAATGTCACTTGCTGGACCTTTAAGAGGCAACCAGTTTAGATATTGACCCAAAACCACAAAATCCTGTGCATACAACACTGCGACCACACTGAGGCAGGTACACTCCTTGGTTCCTCCACAACACAGTAACAGATGAAAGCCAACAGAACCTTCCCAAATGCATATGCATCTTAAAAATGAAACAACAATAAACAAGAAGAGGATAAGTGGGGACCTCCTGTATTTGTGCACCTAAAAGTAGGGTACAACATTTGTTATATTCTTTTAAATCGCAACATAAAGCACTAATAAATTACTGTTTCACTCATCTCATTCAACAAAGGCAAACAAACCCTTAACCTTAACCCAAACTCTATGCTTCACTCTTGGCACTCATTACTCAATGTATGCTCCCAGGTCGAGCAGTCGTCGCATCTCCTCGCAGAACTGGTCATCAGGAGCACAGTTCGGGAGGCCGAACACACCTTGATGCTGACCACCAAATGTGATCAGGTTATGCATTGCTGGTTCAGGACATCGCTGTGCCACAGCACGACTAAATGAATCAATAAAATACAACTGAGCTTACTAACTAACTTCAATGTTTGATGGTCTTTGGTACATGTATTTAGAAAAAAGAAACCACAAAGAGATGGAAAATTAAATAAAGAACAATGCAGGAAACAAATATTTATATACTGTACAGAAGTACAGTACTACAGTATAAAGTTACCAAGTCAGTTTTATGAAACTACTGCAATTTTCCTGCAAAAAAGCATAAGAAAAAAGTTTTCCACAAGCTCACAAGGTTTTAAGACTTTTTGATGGATCAGCCATACACAGACGTTTAGTAACATAACATAGAAACTAAGGATCATGTCTAAACTGACTGACTTTCCAATATGATCATCCTCTACGCTAAACTACAGGGCACAGTTTTGCCTTATTCACAAAATATATTATGAAATTTTCTAAAATTAAATAAAATTAAAAGAATCTTTATCATATTTGAAGAAATTTTTTTTTCTGGAATCATAAAAGAATCTAACAACCTTTTATACTTTTGCAACAATGGGTAAATATTTATACAGTATACTCACAGGAACTGTCCACCCTGTGAGAATCCCATGGCATGATAACCACCCTGGAGTTCTGTGTCATTGGCTAACTTATTGCAGACCTCCTCAACTTGGTCATTTACATTTCCGAAGTAACCATGTTCTTCATCCTGAAGCAACAAAAATTATTAATCAAGTGATCACTCTGGAAAACAACAAGTACAATACGGTACATTATTAAATATGTTCAGTCTCCTAGAACTGTCTACTCGTACACAACACCAACGGTTTCAATGACTAGTGTGAGCGTTGCTTTACAAAGAACACATCTTCAATGACTAGTGTGAGCGTTGCTTTACAAAGAACACATCTTCAATGACTAGTGTGAGCGTTGCCTTACAAAGAACACATCTTCAATGACTAGTGTGAGCGTTGCTTTACAAAGAACACATCTTCAGTGTTTTGGTAATAACTCACAGCAATGATATTACTGCCAATCATGAGAGACCGCACATAGATCCCAGGGATGCGCTGCATCACCAGTTTCTCGATGTGACCCATACTGAAGAAGAAACAGCAAGTGTCACCTGAAATAAAAATGAAACAATATCTTTTTTGCACCCTATATGACACTTCACAAAAAATTATGATTGTGTTTGCAATCTGAACATGCCTCTACTGGCTACACAACTTTCAGAATATGAAAAAATTATAAATGAAATATATGTGCTGCATAAAACAGCAGGAAAATGTAATCAGGTAACCCATGGATACATATAAAAATAAGAGAAAATTTTTCAAACTTCTGCAAACAAACTAGGGTGGAACTCTGTTTCCAAAAAGATCAAACTTTATAATTTCTCTATTATTCTTTGTCAAAAAAAATCGTTTTATTAACTATACCTGTACAGCATATGAAAACTCATATACAGTGGTGTACATTACTTTTATCAGTTTAAATTCAGCTACCTATAGCCACAAAGCAATTTATCTGTAATAACATTCGTAATCACTTTTACTCATTAGCCACTTGGGCAGTCGGTTAAGTCTCTGTTACACAATGTTGTCAAGTACTTGTTCCAGAATGTATCTGTACCTGTGCCAGTGTTGGTCAAGTCTGGTCTTGAAAGAGCTCACACTCGGTGCCGTCCCAACACTCTCTGGTAGATTGTTGCAAGAATTTACAATTCTTGCTCCAAAAAAGTTTGCCTTCACAATTTTCTGGACTCGTGGCTTCTTCAACCTTGAGCTGTGAGGCATTGAATAAAGTCTCCTCCAGGCTGCATGCCTACTTAATTTTTAGAGCCACATGTAGTATCACCAGCAACAGCGACATCTTTCTTCAGCCTGGGTAACTGGGACAGAGCAGGTCACATAGTTGTGAGGCAATTAAACTTTCACCTAGACTTGACAAGATTAACCAATTCACTATGGAGGCAATAAAGCTTATCTTTTCCCTTATCTGGCACCTTTCACAACATTTAGTTTTTGTCAATGCATAAAACTTTAAAGGAGTAAATTATGCTTTGAATTTCTTTGAACATCGTGAAGAACAGGTCTTAATTCCTCTGAAGCATCTATTACCAGACAAGCATTAATGAAACCTAAGTTTGTTGAATCAAAGTGTACTGATGTGGAGTAAGACACAGAATACAGGTATGGAAGCCGTATGAGAGACGTCGATGTCTATTGGTACGACAGCATAATGCACATGTATGGTGGGCAGACTATACAATGATAGTTACTGAGATGGCCTTCTTTTTTACTAACCTAACCTAACAAACTAATTACCTGGTATTGGCATCCCCGGATTACTGAAGGGTTCCACTCCTGAAAATTTGTCCACAACACAAAATTCCATAACGCGGGACCATTTTTCTCATTGACTCCCATTATATAATTTGAGATTCGTTCCCAAGGAAAGTTGTTCGGCCAAAAAACCTAATACAACCACATACATGAATGAAAATAAACGGCTTAAACACATACAATGAGTGCTGCAAGAGGTGGTGCAATCAGAGTTACTGGGAGTTACCTCCTTAAAACATCAAGTTTAATGTCCAATATAATGCCTTTTATCACCACTGCTTTCACTTGAACTTGATGGCCTTTTTCATCTCATCTTGAATAAGGGCAGCGCCATTCTTGTTGTGTTGGGTAGGCGCACCGTCCTCCAGTCGTTTTGTAACAACCACCAAGAATCTACACTAAATAAATGTTTAAATTTTGAGGAATTTTTTGTTATATATTGCAATTTTTTTTATTTAAAAATTTCAGAAAATTCTAAGAGGGCGAATTTTTGGGCCATATCCCAAATACTTGGGTAATAATTTCAAAATTCCATAAGAGAGTATTTCCGTAACTAGGGGTATGTCTGTACTGTATTTTACTTTTGGACAACACAGGAATTTTTGGAATTTTACTATAAAGTTTTGACAATTCGAAGACATTTTTCTTCGATGACGTTAACCTCGCAAGCAGCTTATATACGGGAAGGGTTTCAAGGGGCCTGATTAGGAGGTTAAGTTAGATCATTGGTGAGGTAAACATCATAGAAAAAAACGTCTTAGAAATGTTTAAACTACTGATAGCAAAGATAAAAGTCCAAAGATTCCTGAGTTGTCGCGAAAGAAAAAATTTACCCTAATCTTACCTCACCTAACCAAACCAAACATTACCTAACCATTAATAAAATCGTCCATCAGTACAGCTTCCATACCTGTATCCACTCCGGTAGAGTGTAATTTGTTGATGTCCATGTTTCTTCCATTTTCTCACATCACCTACAGTATGCTTGCTCAGTTCATGGTTGATGTCACAAGAATATCAATAACTTACTGTCTTTGTCTTGTCACTACTGTTTCTTGCACACTTTCCTGTATATCACACATGTTAGGTTAATCATCACAAAGACCAAATTAGGTTATGTTAGTTTACTTTAGTTAAGTTTTTTAAATCCACAGTTTCTCTCTGCTTACAATTCCTACACAAATTTGGTGGAGTCAAGACTGACTGGTTAAGAAGGGTCACAACTCGAGTATAAGGTAATACTAGAGCTGATCGCTAACACCAGAAGGAATTGTTCAATTTTGTTCATTTTGTCCACAGATTTTCTTTGGATGATAGTAAGTAAAGCAAATGATATGAAAAGTCTTTATTTTAATTACCTGTATATGTATTTATTTTTTGTTTGTTTTTTAGTTTTTTCTCTATCTACAATCATAAATCACCTGTCGTGGGAAGGGTATGAAGGATGAGGGATATTGTGGGGTAAAATACAGTGAAAAATTGATCATATAACACTAAAATGACATCTCTACATGCTTTGTGAGCAAAGAAATTAATTATTTACCATAAATATTCAGCAGAAAAATTTGCCGTAGTTGGCATGTTTTGTCGTCTGCTCAGACCACATGTACTTTTCACGTCCAAAAAAAAGAAAAATTACACCACGTTGCTCCAAGAAAGTTGGTTTTATTGATACTTGATATTAAAGCAAGTAATTTCTTGTTAATATGGTGAGGGGTCTGCCCCCCTGATGTGAAGTAAGGTAAGGTAGGTTTCTTTGGTTCGTTAGGTTAGCTTCTATTATATTCTGTAGCAAATTTGCATTTTCAACCAATATGGCTCTCGAGTTGAGCAATGACCATCAGAAAAACACATTGCTCAACTCAAAACCAACCTAACCTAACTTAATCTAACCTAGAATTAATACCTTAATTGGCAGTGGCTCATAATGTTTTCTAAAAAAAAAAAAAAAGAAATTGCCTTACTACTTTCTGATGAAACTCGGCAATTGATGTAAAATAATCTCTATCAAAATGTCAGCACATCTCTTCCACCTGTTCAGCCATATCTGGTACTGAAAATTAAAAGCTCAGCTCCTGACGCACCCAGGCATTGTTCATTGGCTAAGACAAAAAACTTTTACCCAATAATGTCTCCTATCGCCACAGCCAATAAGAAACTCCTACACCACCACTCGCACAGGTGCTGTACTGTACATGCTTAAGAAGCCAACACTGAAGTAAGGAGCACTGCGTGAGGGGAGGTCAGACCTTTTCCGCGAGATGGAGACAAATCATGGCGACACTTGAAAAATTAATATCTCGCTTATCCTTAATTTCCGGTGGAAATATCATAGAAGAAAAAGTCTTAGAATTGTCTAAACATAACAAAATACATATTAATAACAGTGAAAGAATGACCAGTGTAAAACTATAAATTCACAGTTCTGTGTATTGGCGCAGCATTTTTATTACTTACTATCATCCAATGAACATCTGTGGAAAAAATTAAGAAAATCGAACAAAACGTTATGGTATTGGCCATTTGCTCAGGGATTACCGAAAAACTAATACAAAATAAAAATACAGTATGCATATAATTAAAATAAAATGTTGTCATGTCATTTTTATTACTTACTATCACCCAAAGAACATCAGCTCCAGTATTACCCTTTAACGGGAATATTTAAAGTTTAAATGGCCTGCGGTGTTTAATACTGTTGTCATAATAAACACTGCCCATGAACCGAGAAGCAACTTAGAAACATACTCAACTTACCCATGCCATGCCATATTACAAGAGGTGTTGGCTTGTCCTGGGCCTGGATAGTTCCCAGGACACATAATACTGCGATGACACACCACTCCTTCAACCCCATCCTGAATTATTTTGAAAATATTCTTGAGCTACTCAGCGCGGCCGCCAGTCTCCGCCTCACGTGACGTCATGAAGCACGAGACTTTATTAGTGAGGTTGACGAGACCTGAACACCGTACATCCTCAAGTAGTGCTGTACTTCTTTCTTGGCTCATTATATTATCGCCGATTTTAATAAACTATACTCCTACACATTCTGCAAGTGAATATATGGTAAATTATTTGGTACATTGTATTACATTTTTTTTCTGTTAGACACCTATAAATACACAAGACTAATTTAATATACTGTGACACATTTCTCTAAAGAACTGGGATTGAGGATTTACCCATGGAGAGCCGTCTTCCAAAGGAACGTTTAGACTTGTTCTATACAGTTGTATGCTTGTATTATTACATTACTTACCTAAATAAGTATATCTTACGCCACCAATCAGAGCGTAGAAAAATGAGAAAAAATAGCTATAAGACGAAAATTATGCCATATCAGTTTGCTATATAATTTTTATAATGCTGATTTAATTATTATGAAGTAATAATAAATACGTATTATCAAGTCTGTGGTAGTACCTGTTTTCGAGAAATATGATAATTATCGTACATCATGCAACCATCAATTATCGCTCGTTCTCATATTCGAACCTGTATTGAACCCGGGACGGTGTGGTCAGAACCTGTATTGAACCCGGGACGGTGTGGTCAGAGGCAAGCTTGCTTTTTTTTCTTTATTGAGATAAGCCAACTGGGGTCTGAGAGGTCGAAAAAAAATCGGATCACCTGACGAATCGTCATCCCAGAGTTTGGCAGGGTAACAATTCTTCAGGTGGGACAACCTGGGGTGACGATTCATCAAGTGGCAAAACCTGGGTGACCATTCTTCAGGTGGGGTCAGGACCCTCGATGGTGGTTAATCCTCAGGCCTAACCTGGCCTGGCCTGACCTAACCTACCCATTGTAATACTATACGCATCGTGTGCATTTTGCAATATTATCTATATTATAGGGCTGGGGTGTTGAATCTTCAGGTGGAGCGGGCTGGGGTGTTGAATCTTCAGGTGGAGCGGGCTGGGGTGATGAATCTTCAGGTGGAGCGGGCTGGGGTGATGAATCTTTAGGTGGAGAGGGCTGGGGTGAGAAAGGTGGAGCGGGCTGGGGTGATGAATCAGGTGGAGCGGGCTGGGGTGATGAATCTTCAGGTGGAGGGGCTGGTGATGAATCTTCAGGTGGAGCGGGCTGGGGTGTTGAATCTTCAGGTGGAGCGGGCTGGGGTGATGAATCTTCAGGTGGAGCGGGCTGGGGTGATGAATCTTTAGGTGGAGAGGGCTGGGGTGACGATTCTTCAGGTGGAGAGGGCTGGGATTCTTCAGGTGGAGTGGGCTGGGGTGATGAATCTTCAGGTGGAGCTGGCTGGAGTGATGATTCTTCAGGCCATCCAAAAAAGTAAAAGATGAAACAAATTGTATCATAGAAAAAATACAGAAAGGAACAAAATATAACAGACTAGTGTGAGAAACGTCATACCGAATATGTTATGTTGTCAAATTAAGAGAAACACCCGAGACCTTGCAATTGTGTATAAATGAGGCAGAAAATCAATCAGATCAGCCACCTGTAACATAAAGCAGTGGCAAACTGGGCACTTTCTTCTAAACATGTTAGCCGATTTTGCTGGTCGTTGGCGTGACAGCCCAGCAAGCAGCAGAATTTCAGCTGTTGCAAGAAAAGAACAACAGTTTGGCGGCGAACTTTGCTGGCTGGATTAGTGCTCAATAAGCTTACTATTAGGTGTTGAATATTTAACTAAAAATTGAAATAAATCATGAAACAATAATAATTTGAAATATAACATAAAATGGTGACATGTTTCTATTTATTCATCACTTTAAAACTTGACAAACTTAACGATGGCTTCCCCAGCAGTCAAATGTAGCCTTTCTTCATCTTCTAGGAAGGTTATTTGGAGTTGTGAGGCACAGCATAAATTAATAGAAAGCACTTGGGACTACCCTTTTCTGTGGGACTACAGACATGAGCACAACAACAAAAACCTCCTAAAGAAATGCAAGTGGAAGGATATCGCCCTAGAACTGCAACACGAATTACCAATGTGATGAAACGTCTCTTTGTTTTGCTGGCTGGACTGAGTTAGCCCAGCACGGTTGGGAGGAAAAGTGCCCAGTGTGCCGCTGCCTTTAGTCACAATTTTTTGTGCCCAAGGGCTAACGGGCTAATGAGGCAATCAGTGGCGAAGAGGTAAAAGTAACACAAATTCATTGGACCCCTCCGTAAAGATACCTTTTGGAGTGACTGTACAATAAGAGGCCAGTCAGAGGTTAAGAGGATAGAGGTTTATAACAACACAAGAAGACTGATGTGCTCTCAGATATTCATTCAAATATGTTTTATATTTAACCAATTGGTTAGAACTTTTGAGCATTTCCTGGAATCAATAGTAGTGTGATCTACACATTTCTAACTCCCAAAAATGTTTTAAATAACATATAAAAAATATAAATTATCTCAAAAATCATGTCAAAACATTTGATTGAAGCATTCTTTAGTGAGGGTGTTCCAAAATGTGCATGAAATCATGCACGTGCAGCCATACTCAAACACATGTACACTGTATACAGTATATGCCTCATGTATCACTGTAGAGTGAACTTACCCTTTCAAAGTACTGCCACTCTAAATGATTCACATTAACATAAATGAGTTTCTTCCCATCTTTTTATATCTGCATGTTTCATTTTCAAAGTGCCACACTTAAACCCAATAATTTTACCCCTCACAACTTTCTTCTAATTGTTGGCAACTTGCCTATACAGTATTTCATCACTCCATAGTATACAATATAAGTACTGTACATTGTACAATATACCGTTTGTCTGCTTTCTTCTCAAACATCTGAAATACCTAACTTTTTCCACTTCCTAGGCCCCTGACCATATCTACACATTACCCTGTAACATTAAAGCTGACCAATATTCTCACTTATGAAATTGAACCTCCTTTTATCAACATTAATGCCACTTTCCTTTCCTTGTATATTTTTGTTACAAAAATGTGTTACTGTTCTGCTGTCAGTATGATACTTTTACTCCATGTACAGTAAACAGCAGAGATTCGGAGATATTTTATAGACATAACAACTGTTAGTCTATTTATTTGTCTATGAATCATTTACATTGCATATTCGTTACTCCATCCATTAATAGAAGCATCTATAAATTTGTTTTAATAATGCACTAACCTCAAAAAGTAATCAAAACATTTTCTCTTATCTGAACATAATACGGTATAGTATTTGTAAAAGGTCTTACTGCTCAATGTCATCTGCCCAGGTGCACTATTCTCATACCACATATGTACTTTATTTTGTAAACAATTACCCAAGACAACTTGTATGTTTCATGAGAAAATTAACACTCCATGTCCCCACTGTTTACTTAATATGTAATTACAGTACATCCTCCTTCAGGCCTATAGATAAATGTAATATATTTAGCCAGATAGATTTTATCAATTAAGGGGTTATATTAGAGATTCAAAGTTGCAATAATACTGTTTTTGGAACAAGCATGTCTATGGATGAAAAAAAAAATCCACAACTGTGGACCTAAAATTCAATGTCAAGTCAAGTTTGAACCTTGAATTTAAACATGTAGAAGAATCCAGGTGTTTTGAGGAGTTTCATGTAATGGTTAAAGTATAGCCTACCGTACACTATTTTATGACTGAAGGATAACTTCAGAAAGCCAAGTAATGGAGAGAGAGAGAGAAGCTGAAGAACAATGAGTAAAAATACTTCCAAGGTGTTAAACAGCAGTATGTAAACAGAGACAATACTGTACTTTACTACATGTATCATTTAATATAACAAATAGGCCTCTATAAAGAAACAATTTAAAAATAATGAACAAGTGAAATACAACAGTGATAAATACACCTGCTGACCAAACACCATGAACAGAAAGACAATTAACAGTGTTCAACAGTACAGTAAATCCTCCCCCCCAAAAAAACTAAAGATGTTTCATAAGTGTACATATATTTCTGTCTTCTTTGCTATTTTAACTATAATATATTCACCAAACTACAATACCCATATCATAGGGAAAGTAGGTACCATCTGATCTTTTATATTTTATTTAATTACAATAAGTTTGACAATTTGCAAAATCAAAAATTATCTCCTATAAAACTATTTACATGTATTCTTAAACTGTCCATCTTCTACATATGAGAGTGGGGGCACCACTTCACTGTAAGAGGTGAGAACATCCAGCTGCTTATCTGGGGTTCATCAACACATCAAAATCAGATAACATGTACCGTGCATCAACCTACGTTTACTGTCCCACAATGTACGTGTAATGGCTCTTATTCAAATGACAGGATATAAATACTCCAAATACAAATAAATTATATATGCATAGTCCATGGGAGCAACTTATGACCCCTTACCATCCTCATTTATAACCTTTTAAATGCTTGCTTCACAAATGTATTACAGAAATACAGAGTCAAATGCAAGCTTATATACTGATCCAACAAAATACAGAAACAAACTTTTTTTTAAAGTTCCCACCTCCAAGAAACTTAAATTTCAGTTGCTAAAATATGGAATTAATACTCAATTCGTTCCTCATTTCTGTATTATGATAAATCAAAATTTATGCAACTATATAGGACAGAACCTTGGAAAGCATTGTGGAGATTATTGTTTGAGCACCATTAATTCTCAGTCTCTCTACAACAAAAATAAGCACAACCTGGAGAAAATTGCTATCAATAACTAGCATACCAAACTAAATAAATTTCTTTATTTCATGTTTATATATCACATAATTATATAATGTAAATATATACAAGTAAACTGCCACAAACTGATAATACAATACACCCAAAACTTCTGTTTCATAATTTTGACATCTTGACTGTAATCTCCTTATACCTGAGCTCAGTCTAGTAGGGGCTAAAGTATGAATGTTGAGCCACCTTAGCCCTAAATTTTCAATGTTTACTTTAAAAAATTGTCTGCCCATAAGTAAATCATTCTAATTCTTAATCATAAATACATTTTTCACTTACAATACGTTTTAATGCTGTTTAGAGTTTGAATTTCAACACAAATCGGTGATACGTCAAACGTACAGTAGGAGTCTAAAACAAATATAGTTCAGTGGGTAACTGATGAAACTTTCCATTATCAATTTAGAGACTATCTCATGGTAGGGAATTCATTCTCTTCTGGAAGAAACTTACAAGCAGCAATACAATGTACTCCTCATTTGTTGAGATATAATTAATAATACCCCGTACATAAATCTTTCCTTTGGTAAGCTGTGTAAATCCCACAGCAACACAATACTACTATAGGTATATATACCAATAAATAAATAAACTTTCCAAAATTAGGCTACTCTCTCCTAGTCCAAGGAAATTGGCAATATAAAGCAGCATATTGTTCTTGTCTGGAGAATATCTATTAAATCAGTTGTAATTTCCACTACTACTGTGCTCCAGTGACAATGTGGTGATTGGGTAGTGACACCTTTGTATTTTCCAGATGTTTTGTTAATTAATACCCAGCACAAGACCTGCCTAATCTATACATGTGTCATAATGATGGCATGGTGTAAGCCAGTAATCAATCAATAAAAAATTCTACCCATTAAACCCTTTGATATTAATTTTTTTATTATTTAAAACAGTAAGGAGAAACACTGCTTGTCACAAATGGGAAATTCACCTCTGTCAATTTGGTGGGGAATATGGCACCCAGCACTGGCAAGTGAAGTGCTGCTATCAGTTGTAGAACTTACATTCACACACACAATCACTTGACCTTCTAACGATTTCTCTAAAAGAACAATAGTTTTGTGACATTCCAGTGATCATAGTGAATTGTAACTCATTCCAGCTGATAGGATCCTCACATTACTATAGGATATTAGAATTTCCCTGGCTCATTAACAACAAGCACGTGAACTTGGACACAATGCTCATAAATTATCTGATCCATTTTAAAACTTAACTTCAAAAGTAATATATAAAGAAAATGGTGCAATTGTGGAAATCTACTACAGTAGATTATTTTGTAAATTGGATTAGATAACTTATGAACACCCTGTACTTCTCCCAGCTTTACATCTCTGCTGGAGGGGTTTGGTTCTCTTCAAATAACTTAAAATTATTAGAATGCTTTCATTTATCACCAAGGCTTTACTAATCAACTGGGGTGTCAAGAGGCAAACACTGCCAAGTCTAATTTTATAACTTATATTGTTTCTTGGAGGTGGGAATAGCACTAAATCTTGAAGACAAGCAAAGCACTTGACATAAACTTCATATATAAGTCATGGCTTTCACTGTTGAGGTTTTATTCTCTTAACAGTCTTATTACAGGTTCTCCAGTAATAACAACCTCAAAAACAAAATTATCCTTATTTTGAACACAAAATACAGTACAAGCTACACATTTTTCTCTCTTCTTTGTAAATTAATAACCAAATTGTAAATTTTTAATAAACAAATCAAAGATAACATTTAACAAATAAAAATACACTACGTATATTGTATCCTCATGTTGAAATTTTCTAATTTCTGGAAGTGTCAAGACTCAGCGATCAGACTGATGGCTGATAAAAGGCGATATTCATCCTTGCAACAGAGCATTCTGTAATTGTTTCTCCCGTGTGAGGCTCTGCTAGATACACACTACCATCGCAGATGAGACTTGTTGAACAAAATAAACCTGTAACAAATATTAATTTGAACTTATTTACCAGGAAATGTGCGCTACATTATGCTGATAATGCAATGATCATGAAAACTACTTTACTACTGATAAAATAAATAATCCTTAATTCATTATAATTATGTCTCAATACTGCATTCAATTTATATAAGAGAGAATACATTCAGGAATAAAAAAATGAAGAAGTATCTGAATTTCTTTTTCAATGTGACAAAAGGGAAATTAATAACCTCATGGCATCCATGAATTGCAGTGCAAATTATGTAAGAACCTTTATCTATTATAACATACAGTATATGTGAATTTTTTAATGTATTGAGTTATCCTACAAACAATCTTTCTCTCATTCTTCAATCATAATAGCCACTGCTGACTAACCAAGAGAATAGCCTGGCAATCCTGTTCATTAGAAGGGATTAATTAACTTTTCATATAAATTCATCAGAAAAAATGGCAAAATTTATATTGAAAACACATTTTGTTCAGCCTCACAGGAAACAGGAAAATTAAGTCAAGGTTTTGTCTATATTTAAAAAAATCTTCAGGAATAGGGATTAAATGTCAAAAAGGATGTACAGTACATTTACTATCTGGCTTCACTACTACAAAGACGACAAACAGTAGAGAGTAAATTTAGCTATGACCTGGCCTAAAGTTATACTGTACTCATGTGTGTTGGTAAAACTGGGGAAAAAATAATCCTTAGGACAATGAAACGTGAGGATTATTGTATTTTTATTTCTGTAGTTGTATGGGCCACAGATTTTCAGGTGCGCTAGTGAATACCAAGACAATTTAATTCATGCAACCATCCAGCTACAATATAACAATAACAAAGTTCACTTAATTTGTAATTTCTGATGAATTAACACCTAGAACAGTGTAGCCACTGGTCAAAGAAGAAAAGTGCAATATGAAATCTTTGGGAGCATTTGGCTTTAGATAGGAATGGAGTGAGGTAACATGTGGCATTGAGGGTCATGTACTGTACCTGCAATTTAAGTGTTGGATGAGGAGTGTTGTTTTATAAGTGGGATAAACAAGGCAGAATAATGGAATGTGCACATTTGTACTGTATATTCAATTTGATATTTATTCATTTGTCCTTAAGATGTCTTGCAATATGTTATAAGATCTTAGCTCTGCATTTCAGGGATAATTGCAACATAGAAAGATAATTTTAATGCAGAGTAGTATCTCTATGGCTCAGACCTTTAGACTCTTGGAACCTCCATTGGATGATATGGAAAAATCTGACAATATTTGTTAAGCAGTATAAACCTTGTACAAAACCAAAACATAAGAGTAATAAAGATTACAAAGAAATAAAAGACTAGAAAAGAAATTTGTAAGAATAAGAATGGTCTAGGTGATAATTTTAAAAATCCACTACAAAGATATTGGACACACAACACTAAATAACGATCTCAATTCCTTCAGCTGCCTTTATGTATGATGAATTTAGTCTGAGGGTGGGGGTGGCCTTCTATTCCTCCAAATCTACTATACCTTGCCATCATAATATTAGTCTGAGGTAAAAAGAAGCTACGACACTTTTTTTGTCAAAATTCTGAGCTCGTCACCTATAAAGGGATGATAATGTGGACGAATTTCATACAACCTATAAATGAATATTGTTTGCGGTAACCTCACTAAATCAAGTTTAACCGAACCATACCTAACAAATTTAAGTACAGCAAAGACTGTATTAAATAAAATTTAAGTAAATTTTACCACATAAGCACTGATTTCCATGAAGTTATAGCAATACACAAAAAAATTAATCTTTATGTTGCAAAAGTGGCTTGACACAAGAGCATGTGCACAAGATTCTTTTCCTTTCATTTTTTTTGTCATAATCATTATCCCATGCACTCTTACAGCTACAAAAGATGTGTTCTTCTATTTACATTTTACACTGTATTTCCACCACTTATATGCTTACTGGCCATTTGAGTGGTCAGTCTATTCCTGTTCCACAACAAGGCCTCAAATTTGGTTCACCCCAAATCACATTACACAAGCCAACACCATCCAGCAACAGTGCATACTTCCCAAAAACTCACTGACAATTCATGCACACACACTTACATCAGTAGAGTATTTAAAAAATAATTTCTAGCTCTTTTTATCTTTCAGTTTTACAAGAACTTAGATAATCTCTCAGCAATTTAAAGTTATCATTATCTATCGTTAATCTTGTTATCAAAAGATGCATAAAGAAGAGCAGATCATCTGGAACAGTCCCCTTAAAGGTAAAAATAAATAAAAAATCAAATAAATACATTAAAAATTTCATTAAACAAGGAAATAATAAAATGTACTTATCCTGTAGACTCACCACACTGTGTTGCTTAAGACCGCAGGTGTGGTTTCTTCAACGATATGTATCTGTAATGTTTCAATGCGAACAAGCAGTTAATGAGACAGCAGGACAAGGGCTAAGCACTTCTATGCCAAATGTTGGGGTCAAGGGAATGTCACAAAACATATTGAGAAGGATCACTAGCACAGTAACTTAGTCACCAAATGATGGAGAGGACATAATTATAAATCTATAGCTTCACTGATACAACTACAACAGAGTGAGGAAGATGACCTACACACAGGATGAAAGGTACAACCATACAGCAAGGAAAGAAAAGTGAAAGTGGTTGGTGGAATAGTGAGGACAAAACAAATGATAAGAGTCATCTGCACCCAAATATGAAAAGTACTTATACTACTGTAATCTGTGTGTATGAACCCAGTTTGATATGATTTTCTGTCACGTTTCTTAGAGAATAATTGAAGAAATGTATATGTATAAACACTATTTTAGACCAGATTTAACCCTTCACTACGGAACACCACTTTTAATATTTAATTTGCCTAATGCCAGATGATTTTATTCAGCAGAATAAGAGAGCCCTGTGTGCAAGGGGTTAATAAGAAATTTAATTTTTCTAGTGATAACAATCAAAAGGGAAAAAAGAAAATATCATACATTATATTCTTCCATCAAAGGTGACTAGGTATTCTAATTCAAGTACAAACATAATTAAAACAATTGTATGATTATAATCATAATACTATAACAAAATACTGTTACTTATATAAAACTCACCATTCAAATCACAAACTAAGATTAGACTAAACAAAAATTTAATGACTTGAAACTTTCAATTCCATTTGTCTTTAAAAAAAAAGATATAATATATATCATAACAAAGGAATTCCCACAAAATAAAAAATAACAAACTTGCATGCATGTAGTTAATAACATAGATGGCACCCTAAAATAACCATCAAGCAAGAAAATCAGATATTTTGTCAAGCTCGGATACATAACCAGTAACTCATAACTTGCCAGCAATTCACAAGACATCAATGATTAAGGACAAAGCAAAATAAAATCGGCTACAAGCCAAGTGCAAAAAAGACTTGTAAGAATTTCATTAGCCATAATTGTCAAGCCTGAGACAAAAGTCATGAAAGGCAAGACATGGGTATTGTTTATCCAACAGTGGTGATGGCTGCATCGTCAACATTGTGTGTCTGTGATTCGGTCACATTCCATAAACATACCTGTTGCCAAACCTTTCTGAAAATGAGATACGCTCCCCCATGCAACATCTCTTCAACACATTTCAATCGTAACACTTGATAACTAACAGTACCTAGAATGTACTAAGCAGACTTTGAGACTATATGGAAAGTGAGTCTACTTCTTACCAAAGATGACCAGTTATCATGCTCGATCTACAATTGGTTAAAGGTGAACCTCCTTATAACTATAACTAACCGAGTACCATGCTTGAGAGATAGATATTGTGACCATTACTAACCACGTATCGTGCCAAAGAACATCTACCATGCCAGAGATACTCATGACCCATAGTCAAAACATGAGGTGGTTACTGCCACTAATGGACACCCACCCTGAGTAATACAATATACATGGCAGGACCTATATTTCTGAAAATAGGTACTTCACACTAAAAAATTGCTAAGATCTAAACTGACGATCTTTTTCACAAGTTATTATTATTTATTCCATTTCATCATCACCATTTCGGTGAAATCTTTACAAAACTGATCGTTTGACAACTTATTCAGCTTTGGTCTTGTTTCAATCCACTCTTTAAGAGTTTAGTATACTGTCCTTGACTTATTATATGCATTAACTGCTACTGTAACCTTTTGAGTCTGGTATTAAATTTCAGAGGATCTGAAAATAAGCCACATGCAGCCAAGAAATGAAAATACATAACTGTAATTCCTTTTCACTTTCCCAAGAGAAGCTCAGTCTTTATGTGTATCTGATACCTCAAAGTGGAAAACTATAAATAAACTGAGGTACTGGTAAGCATGCAAACTTTTAGTTTGAGCTTACAAAGGTAAAAGTGCTTTTAAAGAGTTAAAATATTCCAGTACTGTATCTATCAGTTATTTATGAAACAACATTCCTTCTCCATGAGAGTTCCCCTTCTAGGGTGTGACCAGAAGGGTAATACCTTAAAATAATCATGAACATAATGAAGTACTGGCCAGCTTCGACGAGGAATACAAACATTTTAGGCCAAAACTCAACATACAATAATTACACATTTTGATACTAAGAAACAAACTAAAATAATTATTGATTTGATTATAAGATTTGAAATGATATTAGAAATACAGGTTGAACCACCTGGTCTAGCACCACCCGTGGTCCGCTAAGAGTTTTTCTTGTCATGTCGTGTTTTTCTTATGCTTTCCCAGTGCCAATAACTTAAAATTGTGTAACAACACTAATACCTTATGTTATGATGGCTTATTTACCGTATACAGTATACTCGAATATATTTCTAGCTTTTTTATCAAATTTTTATGTAAAAAGTAGGGGGCTGAACAAAATAAAAAATGCATAATATTTTTTGAGAGGACATTTGTGTGGTTCCATCAGTAATTTACAGTGAACGATACAAGCTCGCAGTAGGCGAACCTTACCAGTAAGCTCCTTTATCCTGGGTTTGCCTACCATACCCCTAGATTCTTTCTGTATTTACAGATAATTTTCTATTTCCATGTATTAACATCACTGGTGATATTGTTGCCACATTAGACTCAACACTATAGCCACATCCCCCTAGCCCTCATATTACCAGGCCAAGCTGTGAGCTATATTATGGTTACTTTTCAACGTGTAATTTTGGATGGATAAACCTATAGGTAACTTTCTTCCTTTTTTACCCACTGCTGTGGGCTGTATATAAGACAAAACCTATGATTTACTCTCATAAATATACAGGGTTAGCACATCTACAGTTAACTTCATTTACAACATTATTAAACAGGGCAAGGGCACTACTCTAAATACTATATAATATACTAAATGGATGCACAACCGTTCTCTTATGTACTTACCTATCAAGTTTTTCCCAGAAATCCAAGAACCTAGCTCTATCTAAATGTCGACGGACACGGCTCAAATTGATGATATGCACTGCCCATTTTGAAATGTTGTTGTCTAAATTCATTTCTTCAAACTTGATGTGAAATGCACAAACTGTAAGAGATGTATTACTTTAATATTCTGAAATTAGATTTTACAGAAGTTATAGTTATAGTACCCAACCCAATGCTTATGATCATTAACACTACTTTCTCCAAAATTAAATGTTTTTCTTATCCCATACCTACACCCACATGTTCAATTCATCAGATACAATTCAGTAGCTTTTCAGACTTTGTTTGTCAAAACTTATCGGAAGACTCCTGGATCCAGTAATCATAATTCAACTTAATAAATTCTGCTGATAGGAAGATAATAGTTTGCTCCACATGTGTAAAGTTATCTACAACTTCTTTTTTTGAAAGGTTTACCTAAGTTATAATTCAGGATAGAATATCCATTTTAGAGAGCTTGAGGAACATATAACTTTAAGTTCCCACCTTTGTATGGCTTAAGCATAACTTACTTCTATTGAAAATCTCTACCGGATTGCCCTCATGTGGCCAGCCCTTAAACTGCCAAGCTGGACCCATGGCAAATACAGCTACAACACGGTCCCATTCAGCATAGTTGAGTTTGGAAGGGTTGTCTGTGACACGGTAAGGTACAGTGAGACCACCAGCTTTGGGCCGCTGAATAAGAATCTCTGTTTCACGTTTGGTGCCTTGCTGTCGTTTCTCTTCAGAAGTAACAAATCTGAAATAAATACACAGCATGAGCTGGTAACAATACACCCATAAGTGTTATTATAAGAATACACCAAAACATACTTTTTAGTTACCAGTCAGAAGTGACTGCTTCCATTGATGGCAAGAAGACCTCTCCAAAAGTGATGGAAAAGATGCATGCAACCAGCTTGAGAAGTTTTATAGACAAAACAAGTGCAAAAAAAATCTAATGGTATTCAAATTTGCATTAAAATGAACTTACTTCATATCTTGTAGTAGATCCTTAGCATTAAGCATTGTGATTAATGATGTTGGAGAGTTGGGTACAATAATGATTGGAGTACGTGAAGGCTTCTTCATCTGCTGACCAGGTACAGGCTAAAATTATGAAAAATATATAGAGCTAGCACATCCACATAAAAAAACAGCTGAATAAAGAAATGAAGAACCATTAACCTGGGGGACTATAAATTCATTAATCACTGACTAAAATAGGAGAGGGCCATTTATCATTCTATACCCAAAATAAAATGAGACAGGATATCAGTATACAGTACCCAGACTAAAATTTTAAGCCACTAACAAAAGACGCTAATAACATCCACCGTAAATCATTTCAATGTGCAGAGAGAACAAACAAACCTGCTCCTAGAAATTCCAAACTTAAGCATGTTCCACCATCTCTCATGTTGCTCTCCTGTGATATACAGGTATACTGTATATGAGAACCAATATTGCCCAAATCAAAATATAATCAAACTCTTAAGGACTGCAAGAGAATATTTCTGGACTCCACGAAGGCAGTATCACCCGTCACAGAAGGCATCCAAAAAAATTGTGTGAATGCAAGAAACAAAAGAACTGAAAATGAAAGAAGGCATATCTCTAGTTTATCCTCCAAAGGAAAGAATGCAGCTTCTCAACAAGAAGAAACAAACACTATACCCTGTACTTCAAAATAGACCCAGAAGAATAAGAGAACAAACCCCCCAGCCCAGGAAAAACTGGCTACTCTGTCTGGCTTTTTCAAATCTTACAAATATAGTAAATTTTCTTATAAAATTGTAGACAAGCTTGCAAAACAAGAGAATATGGATAAAAAAGTCTTTACTTACCTTAAACTCTGCAGGTGGATGTTTTTCTCCAAGCACAATTACATTATAATAACAAACAATAATAGCAAGGGGCCCACCTGTTGCTGATATTTGGATGTTGGTAGGCGGCAGTGTTACCACACGGTAGTCAGTGAGTTATGTTTACTTATTTACTTTACTTATTTTTCACAAGGTAGTCAATAGATGTTGGCCACAATTTAAGGGTAAAGGGACCTTCAAGATGAATGGAACTGCTTACCTCAACAGATGGTTAGTTCTACAAATGTAGTGACCTCCTATAGATGTTTGCTTAAGCATTAAGTTTATCAAGATGTCAGGGAAAATTACAGACTTCTGACTACACTTAGTAGTGCCAGTAGCCAACCTAATTCAGTACCAATTACAGTCCCACAATTAGATGAAGATCTGCACACACAAGCCTGATTCCTTCATCCATAGTGCACATAATTAACATAGGGAATACAATGTTATATCCACCATTACCCACCTTTGTTTGAGGAGTTAGATCAGGCTGTGGAGCCATCTTATGACTCTGGCTGCCCTCAGTCACACTCTTTAGAGAGAGACCGTGGTAGGTTCTCATTGTGTCGATCTTGAAGCCCTCAGTTTCTGCCATGTAAAGTTGAAAAGTGCAGTGAATGAAGTTAATGATGACAGTAAATTAATTTCTGACATAATAAAAAATTGACTTCGTGAGAGATTACATAAAATCTGTTTAGAGAAACAAAGCCTACATCATAAGAACTGTACTGTACCATTTCAAACTATTTAAGAGTATCACACTCACTAAATGCTCTCTCTGTGTTCCTCTTACTTGTGTACTTCCTTCTAATTGTAACCTGCTTTCTCCCTTCAACACCCTTCCTCCATACATTTACCTTGGAGGGGAGGATAGTAATCTGATTCTCAACAACAAATAATCACCACTACTCTTGTCTGAAACCTATATTAAGTACAAGCTGGAAAGGCTAAGACACAGATCCCCCAGGTAATGTCTACATCCCATACCAGTAATAAGACATTTTATTTTACAAGTTAACCCTTCACTGACAGCCATCATTGGTGGAAGTTTCATGTTCCTCGCATTCCATTTTGGGCACATTGGCGGGGAGAAGGTAATTCCTAGCCTCCGATTAATGGTTAAGTACGACTTTCTGACTACATACCTTCTTTGCCCTTAAACCTTTCCTGGTCGTATCGTGAGTAACCAGCAGGCTGTTGTTGTACTCTTGATACTGGTGTTGGGACAGGGTTGGGTGCTGTTGTTCTTAGTCGACCATCCTCACGAGCCTTGATTGACTTCAGAAGTCCCATTATGCTTGTTGCAAATTGCTGTGTAGTGTGACAATTTTTATGAGTGACATTTTATTTTATCAAAAGTAGTTCAGTAATTGATTTTTTATTTTGACTGAATATCCTATTTTGAACCTTGCTAATTACTCAAAGATCAATTATTTATTCCCAGTATTTGTTTTACCTTTTTTCCATCCAGCATTACCAAATTTATCAAAACAATAACTGTCACCAATTCATTTGTAAACACATTTACTTATGTTTAGTAGCCATTTCACTTTCCATCATCTTAGTTATAATCCCATTTACAAATTATTTATTTTCAGAAACATTACAGGTCTTACCTATTCCTTCTTTGACTAAATCATTCCACTAATAGCATTCTGCTGATTTTCAATACAGTATACTGCTCAACTTCGGTTAACCCTCAATTTTGTTTGGTCAGATTTATGACTGATAGATACCTACTGTACAGCCTGAAAGGATTAGAAGACACATAACACTCACCTTGCCAGAACTCTGAAGAATAGTTGTTCTGGTTCTCCACTGGCGCTCCTTTGTTGTGATATCTTTAGTAACATCTATGTCAAATTCCAGCATACCACGCAGGTCTGTACCAAGGCCAAAATCATCGTCATCTTCCTTGATCATTGTTCTCTTAACAGCCAGACGCTTTGCTTTGATAGCTGCTATTTTTTCAATTGACATAGCTTCAGACAAGGACCTGGATAAATAGAAAAAACACTTTCATAAAATTTAAATATATTCAACTGACATGAAATATCTTGAATCTTTTAAACACAAGGATGAGTTGGTCCAAGTTGCCCTTATAACAACAACATGGAAAATTTAAAGAACTGCTCACTTTCCCAATAATGATCACTTTTCCTTTGTCTGTTAAACTTCAGATTATTTGTTCATAGCAAAAATTCCCCATTTCACTCTTCTCATAATAAATTTATCTTTCCTTTTGTTTCCTACAGCTGGTGTTTACTGGCTCAAAAAGCCCAGCTCCTTTCAAATCAAAGTCATCATCAATTCCTTTGCTGTAAACTGCTGTAATTGCTCATTATGTGTTAGTTAAATCCTGTCATAGCAAGTCATAAATGCACAAAACCTATATATTTCATACTTATACTGAAGTGGTATTCTATTAAGCATGAAAAGGAACTCAAATATTTAAAATCATGGGTTATTCACTCAAAGATATTTATTTGAAAAGCTTCTCAAAATACTGTTCTTGCCTCACACTCCTATACATTTGTCTCTTCCTCATATCTCTTTCAAATTCATTCAGCTTAACTCAAATACCTGTAGGCATATTAAACTTAAATATACTGCAATAAACTTTGTGTTCTTTGTGTTCATACAATAAACTTCACTGGCTGCACTGTCATACAATACTCCAAACAACAAAATTTAACACAATAAATCGAAGGTTAATTATCAAATTTAACACAAAATCAAAGAAATGCAATAATTTTCGTTCAGGATTAATTTACACAAATATTATAAAGAAATCATAAATTGGCTGATGCTATTTTATCATCTAAAATCCTCTCTCTTTCATTTAAATGGCATGAATTATCATTTTCATTTTCTCTCGCCGGAATGTTGTATTTCATCATTACTGCACCTATCAATGTTGCTGACAATGGATGATTTCTTTGGTGCATCAAAGCGAAGGGCAAGCTGTTCTTTAATTTTCTGTACATCACTGTCATCGTAACGTGGCTTCTTAGCAGCGCTGTCTGATGTATCCTCCACAGTTCGCTTTACCTGCAAAACAATGTCATTTAGTGTGCAGTTAATGTGACTCACAGTAGCATATAGAATTCCTGAGAAGACAGAATAAACAGTTTACAGCTTTTAAACTAAAATATCTGAGCTTGATATCCATTACGGACGGTTTTACATCTATCATCTAATAATCTATTAGTTCCTTTTTGTCGCCAACATGTGATCGACAAGACAAAATGAGACACAGGGTTCTAACTCCGGTAGGGTGCGGCCGTGTGCCCTAGACCAAAGTTTCTTCTTGTTGATCTCAAGTTGGCAAAAAAATGTATGCTCGTGTGGCCGCACCCTTATACTGTACGTACATAAAAAAATTTGTCTATTGTAGAAACTAAGATTAGTATGCAATACTTAATAACATTGGGAGTTAAAGAAGCTACAAAAAGAAATTAAAAGAATTTACGGTAAGCAATGCTTTACCAACCTGTGTGGGAATTTCCAAAGGTGCAGATTTGTCAATGGCTGTGGCTGTCGAAGTCTCCCCATTGAGGTATGCCAAAAGTTCTTTACGATCTGGACGACGTACCACAGGAATATTCTCAGCCTGTAGAGTGTAGATAGGCAGTGTTTTATAAGTTACATGATCCATAAATTGAAATCTTTACCAAAAAATAAAATAATATTAAAACAATACAGTAATTAGCAATTTTTAGGGATGTTATAAAAAAAATCCTTCATTTCTAGCAACAATATAACTCACAAGTACAGTATTTACATCATGCCCAAATTGTTTATAAAGTACAGTACTAATAACCCAGATCTTTTCCCCTTACCCAGAGCCCTTAAAACTATGAATATCAGATTGTCCCTTAAAAACAGGTCAGATGAAGGCACTTCTAACACCCTAGGAGTAATAACTAGTCCCATGAAGGTCAGTATGGATGACATACAGTAAATGCATCTGGTGATGGCAACCCATGCTTATCTCCATCATGGAAGACCAAGTTGCTGCCAAATGAGGGAGACAGGAAACCCACTCTAGAACTAGACAGTTTCACAACCATGAACCCCAGATACACTCATTAAGTTTGAAAAATGGTGTTAGAACTTACAGCAGCTTTCCGCACATATGAAGGATGTGTAAGGCTGACATGCTTGAGGAGGAAGAGTAGACATTCCAATGTGTAGTAATCTTTGGGAGCTCCATCCTTGCCAGAACTGTAATGAAACACGTCACATATAACTCAGTACTGTACACTTGGCTTCATGGAATTTATAGCCCATAAAATGTCTCTCTCCATGCAATCCTATAGTACTGTAACATACACTGACATAGACTAGATTGTACTGTACAGATACATAGCTATACAGTATACATATTAACAGTATTGTAAATTATCATTATTGTCACAAGTAACTTCACAAAGAAAGTGGCACGGAACATTATCACTACTGGTAATTATTTTGTATGTTTTAATGGCTTTTCATGGCATATTTTACTGATGAGATTGTTTTAATTCATAGAATCAAGATGTGGCCATTTTTTTTAATTCCTACCAATCATCATGGTAACATTCTGATGGTTCTAAACTACAGTAAACTAATTATGAGTTCCATATGAGTTGTGATGCCTCATGATAGTGGTACCAGTTATGTGAAATGTCTACCCCTTTTCCCAACAATATCAATAAAACAAGGCAAAATGCAAGTGACAGTTAGCAATATCCCTCTTATTTTAAGCTACATATACTTATAATCAACCAGCCATAACTAAAATCACCTGCCACCATTTGTGGCAGAGTTGGATCTAGTTGTGTCTGTTTAGATGTGCAGAACAGATGTTTTGGGTTATGAGCATGGCTGGACGTGTGCAGTATAGCACCTGGGTAAAAAAAAATTGAGGTAGAAATTTCCCATAAGACTGGTACTGTCTTTTCATGCTTTAATTTTGAGTTAAGAAAGAGCTAAGTTCTCTTCTATAAATATTTTTGTTTAAAATTCGTTTTAAGTCAACACGAGATTTCATATCTATTTATATAGGGGAAAAAAACTATTATATTTCCATTGCAATTTTTGTTTTTTGTATTTTTGACTTTTCAATAGCACACGTGTTACTATTTGTGTTTCACCCATTCCTCTTCATATTTTTCACTACCCTAAATATATTATCTTTTTAATTATGAATCGATATTTAAGAGTAACATTTCTTGTCCATAAGCTTAGTTTTTAATATATTTACCCTCAAACATTACATGTCTACAGTTGATGGCCCATGTTATCGTCTGATCTGTTTATTTACAACCAACCCTCTCGGTCTGAGCATACTCTCACGTCCACAAAAAAGGTAAAATTACACCATGGAACTTCAAAAATTTTGCTTTCATTGGTACCAGATATCAAAATACTTTAAGTACTTTCTGTTTAATATGGCAGGGGATTGGGGAGCAGAGTCCCCTACTAGGAAGTTAAGTAAGGTTAGGTCAAATTTCTAGAAAAAAGGCTCATTTGCAATGGAGATGGTCAGATTGGTGTGAAACAACACAAAATACACGAGGTAAACCTATTATTTTAATAATTTGGGTGAAATTTTCTTTATGCACCCGTCTTTCTCTCGCTGTTATTAATATGTATTCTGTAATATTTACAAAATCCTAAGGCCCCTTTCTTCTATGATAATTCAGCCGGAAATTAAGGATAATCAAGATATTAATTTTTAAATATTATTAAATTCGCTCAGTAACAAATGTCGCCATGTCTTATTTACCTTGAGGAGATGCTATCTGTGCATCACACATGTGCAATATTGACTGACGTCATCCAGTTGTGACCAATGATGTATCGATATCACCACGCGTATTTTTTTTACCAAACACATTTAATTTTTTTTCAAAGGAAACAGCCTAGGTAATTTCTTTGACCAGTCTCACATAGCCGTGGTGGAGGTTGGTTGTCATTTGTGCTCCTACGATTATTTTTAAGTTTATTGCCGAGTTTTACGAGAAAGACGATCATTCTATCCAATTCTTGCGTATCCCTGGTCCTTCCACTTCTAACCAAGGTAATGTACTTTTGGACATGGCATGCCCATAGTTTTTAACTACTGAGACAGTTAGGTTAGTTTAAGCTAGGCCTACCAGGGATCCAGGGGCAGAGCCCCCAGCTAGGTTAGATGATTCGTTTTCTCCCCCACCCAAAAACCCCGATTTCTCAGGCTCTCCCCCCCCTTATTGCTGGGGGGTGGGGGCAAAAACTAATGATTTCCGGCGGAAATGAAAATCAAATTCTTTCGAAACTCATCAAATATCACCAGAAAAACATATTTTTAATATCCAAACAAAGATCAGTGCATAATTAAAAATTGACCATTACCCATTTATCTCATACAGAATAATTCCCTCAAGTTGCTGGATAACATGTACTAGTGTCTTCCAAGCAATAAGTGAAAGCGTTACTCATCGCACCATACGAGTGTTTAAGTCTCGGAAACAACAGCACACAGAGCCATTATGCAATTTACTTGAGCCATAGTGTTCATGTAAATAATCTGACAGTTTCTGCTAAAATCAAGACCTTATGGCTAATTAGCTGATGACATTCATTAAAAATTTATACCCCGTAGTAACGCCATTTCACTGTGAATCTTATTTATTTCATGAATTATGGCTTAAACTTCTTTTTAACATTTACTAGACGCGTATCATGAATTATTCTTCTAACTTTTTCTTCCACAAGAGAACCTTTCCAAGTTCCAGGCATCAAAACTCACGAGTTTCTCTCTAATACCACGTAAAAAAATATAAAATTCTTGTCAAGGGGAAATATAAGAACTCATTATACTGCCTTTGAACTCATCACTAAATACATCAGGGATAAACATTTGGTTAATTCTACAATGTTTCTGGCCAGTGGTTACATCAAGCTGCCAGATTTTCCTGAAGGCTAGTGTAAACAATCTAATTTCCCCACCCCAGGCTGGAACTACACGTTTACTTACCCATAAACCAAGTAATTAGTCTTCACTGTCTTCGGCCATGAGAACTCTCCAAAGATTATGTTGTCTACTTTGGTAATAATCTCCTTTTTATTGACATTGTACTGGCGTAGTAAACTCAGTGGGTCCGCCATATTGAAAACACTGAGGGTTCACTGCCAAGACTAACTTCATCACTACGCAGGAATAGTAGATAATAATGTATTTCACTACAATAAACAAGTAATGTATCAGTTACACCACGTCGATCATCTTTTTTTCTAGATCTTACAGAACCTTTTTATCTTTTCTTAAGTTTAATATTATTATACATCTTGTTTATTTGTAGTAAATCTGTCTTCTCAGTTGTTTTGTAGTCATATATCATTTAGGTATAAATATAACCTGTTGATTTTTTTAAGTCTATATATATTGGCAAGTCTTATATACAAACAAAAGATAATTGAAAGTTCTTGAGAAGTGTTAAGAAATATCGGAAATATTTAAACCCTAACAAGACGCAGAAGCTATCCAAATCTTAGTGGACATCTGTAGTCGTTGAGAAGTACTGTTGCTAGTCTATCAATTCATAAAAAAATTCTTTATTGCCTTAAAAATTAAGGGAAATTATTCCAAATGTGTCCATTAATAGGAACTATTAGACAATGATGGCGGACTACCATCAGCCAAGTTCAATGTAACATTGTCCTTTCATATACATTACTTTAATTTAATTTATCGTCTCAAGTCTGATCCACAGGGGACTTACACCAAGTTTCTCTGGTAGATTATATCTGTGTTAACTAAATAATGCCTAATGGTCGTTTGATTGTTTGGGGCCTCCATCATAATATGGAAAAAGGAAATCGAGACATGACTGGAGTCTCTGATCTGTTTATGTGCATTTTCAGATACTATTCTTCATCCCAAGAAATGTATAAAAAAAATATTAACCGCTTTTTTCTGATATGTTGTCCAATTAAGAATTAAAAATGTGAAAAATCCGAAAATGCGTAGTCAATTAACCCTTTACCTATATACTTTTTTTTTTTTTTTATTGGGCACTCCCCTACATCCTTGTGTAAGGTGAAGCGCAGAAGCGTTTACAGTGCCCAACAGGGAAGCATGCTAAGTTCATACTTGCCTTTATGTCTCATGAGTTAAGGGCATAGAAGCCTGAAGAGTCAATAGTTTGTGTTATCAAGTTATTGGACCTTTATATACTGTATATTATATCAACTAGCTTTTTATATATTTTTTTTATTTTTCCTCCTCCGGCAAGTTTCCCCAAGGACTATAGCTAGTTTGGCAAAGTTTCTCCAAAGCCCATAACTAGTTTGGCAAAGTTTCTCCAAGGCCCTGTACACTCAACTACTGTAATAAATATAAATATAATCTAGGACCACTTTGTGGCTCAAAGTTGCTACAATACTTTTATCCTCTTCACCACTGATCCGCTCGTTAGCCGCTTGGGCGATCAGTCGCGTCTCAGTGATGTGGGAAGATTAGATTTGTAGAAGTGATCTAACCTGACAACTCACAAACTTTTGGAAACTGTAACAGAAAAAGTTCACCTTCACGTCTCTTATCTTTGACATACATTTTCACTTCTATAGTAAGAAATGTTACAATATAATTTTTAAACTATAGTTAAGTACAGAATAAATATGTGCTACATGAAGCTCCATCCAATTAGTGTGGGCAGTCATAGAATTTGACTACAAAACAAGACAAAATTTAATTAATTTTGAAATTCAAATGCAATACAATCTTGATCCCATCTTAGCTATTCAGGGTACTAAAACTCACTGACAGAATCTCTTAATGTATTTTAATCCTTGACTACTGAAATAAACATTCTGATGTCATATAGAAAACAAGTACTGTATTCTAACAAATAAAATATAATCTACAAAATAAAAATTTACAATGAAAGTGTTATCTCTCTAAAAAAGAAATTGAAAGAAAATATAATAACTATAAATATAACATCCCAGAACTAGTAAATATGACCTTTCTGTCAAGTAGAAAATAACCATGAAAGGGTATGTTCTCCAATCAATCCTCACAAAATAATTGTTACAATCTTATTATTTTTCAACAATAAACAAACCTCTTTTCAGTATTTCATTCAATGTGTGTATTGTATAATGTACACATCTTTACCCTTTACAAAATTATGATATTCTGCTCTTCTACATGTCCGTACACTTAAAACACCAGTAGAATATTTTTTCATGTTTACACACACACACATATCACCTCTCCAACAACTAAAATTCCTTCAATTACCAGAAACCTTTCCAATTCTCATATATAAAAACTTTATTACCTTCTACCATGAGGAACAAATACTGTGTACAGTATGATGGATAATTAGATGGTACAGTACTGTGAATTAACTGAGATGAATTAACTTAAAGGTCACGATAGAGGTGAGTTGATGGCTGACTTTTTCTACCATAATCAAATAAGCCAATCTTTATGTACTGTCGTACTTTATTACACAGAATCAGTTTTTAATTTTAGGTTTGACCAGGCATACAACAGTGTGGTTTCTATAAACCCTAAAAGCCTTTATACGCCTTAAGGTTCACATCATATTTTCTTCCAATACAATTTCTAAAGATGTTCATAAGCTAAGTTTTTACATTAACCTAAGAAGTAAGTCCAAGTAAATCACAAACAAGTCATCTGCTAGTGAGGGATAATAGGCAGGATAATAGTAATTTAATAATACAGAAAACTATGTGCTGCTCTTTCACTAATAGTTATGCACAATAAATCCAAGTAACTGAAACTTAATGCAGTAAATCGATGTAACCACAAAATTTAACACAATAAATCAAAGGTTAATTATCAAATTTAACACAAAATCAAAGAAATGCAATAATTTTTCTTCAGAATTAATTTACATAACTAATATAAAGAAATAATAAACTGCCTGATACTATTTTATTATCCCAAATCAACTCATTCTCTCTCATTTAATAACATGCATTATAATTTTCACACTCTCTCCACAATGTTATACAGTATTTAATCATTATTGCATCTATCAATGTTGCTGACAATGGATGACTTTCATTCTTTAATTCTGTACATCACTGTCATCGTAACGTGGCTTCTTAGCAGCGCTGTCTGATGTATCCTCCACTGTTCGCTTTACCTGCAAAACAATGTCATATAGTTTGCAGTTAATGTGACAGTTAGGGTGTGTCAATTTAAGTGTGCAATGTGAAAAGTTTAGTTTCAAAGACTACTATAATAGTGACTAAATTATACATTTTTAAGTGCTAAATCGAAATATGGCTTCAAATCCGGATTTGACCACCCCTAGCTACTTATATTTTGAGTTGAAATTCACGAAAAATTAGCAATTTTTGCATATTTTCATTGTATATAAGAAATTTTTTTTCAGACAGACAGATTATCAGAAAGGTTTCTTGAGCTTTACCAAGGTGGCCATGTCTTACTTGCTCCTGTTCCTGGACATGAGTTCCCTACTGGCCACCTGGCCCCTGATGTATGCCTCCCTCCTCTCTTTTGAGTAAACATGTGCTACTTCAGTTGTCATCCCCACACACCTCTCTATAAACTGTGTGTGTGAGGGCCATGCATGAACTTTCATTGGTCCATCCAGAAACTCCATGATTGCAGCAGTGGTGAGGGAGCAAGTCAGAGGAAGCTCGGTTACTCCAGAGTTCCATTTACTAAGCTCCGAGAGTTTGGTAGCATCTGGGTTGACATCAGAAGTCCTCCTGGGTCTGACACTGCAGTCTCCTACCTGTGTGTCCTCATCTTCTTCACCTCTGATTTCCAGTATCCTTTTCACAGCTTCCCTCCTCTCCTCCTCCACCTCACTATACAGCATGGCCTGGAGCACAGTTCAGTGGCAGTGTCTAACATCTTCCCTAGGGACCCCAACCACATGTTGTTTGCTCAATGTCTTTCCATCCAGTGCAGTCACTAGGTGTCAAGATTCTTCGAACACTGCTGGAGACAGCTGACAACTCAAGGTCGTTTGTTTACTATCGTACGGAGTATAATATAATACGAAACGCCAAAGCCAAACCATTAATTAAGCAACGGGGAACTACATAACCAATCACCGATCCTTTTTACATTCATTCATAATTTTTAAAACGTACCTGCCAGGTGGTATCGCTGTGTCCTTTTTCTCCATTTCTACTTCCGTTGGGGTGTCAGCCACCACAGAGGTTTGAGGTCTCGAATCACTGCTGCTTGGTTCACAGGCTGCGAACCTTCCCTGTTTCGACCTTTGCTTCTCGACTCGTTCCTCCTGCTTTCTCTTCTTAGCGGCAAAAATCTTATCGTTACCACTCATGAACGCTTTTCTTTCTCCGCGTTGGTCTTGATAGAAGGCGATGTCTTGTTGTTTGTCGGCCGGTGTAAGCAGCCGGTTCTTCTCGATGTCCTCTACGGCGTCCGGTGCTCCGATGTCCCACAACAGGTCAAGTTGAGACTTGAAGTTTTCAACCTTGTCCTTTGCAGCCCTGTCCCGACTTTTTTGTAGACTTCTCCAGTGCTCCCATAACCTTGTCAGTTTCTCCCGGCACCCCCTCTCTGAGATAGTCTTGATGCGAGCTAAATTCCAGAACGTGAGTACGTTTCTCACTGTTTCTTTAAACGTCTCCTGTCTGTCACCAGATTCATTCACTGTGTGAAAGAAGAACTTCAGGACTTGACGCATCGTCGGGAGTTTACTGCCTCTAATTGACGATGCTGGCTGGCCTACTAGATAGATTTCAGTGGCAGAACAGGTAGTGGATGATGTTGGCCTGACAGTCCCCTTAGCATTCTCCCCCGACTGCGACTCACTCTCTTCCATAATTGTATGTATATAAACAGATGAACTCTGTAAGAAAAAACTGTTTTGTAATAAAACAAAATAGGGTCACATAAGAGCAATTTAATCACCTGTAGAAAATACAACATAAATAGATAACCATAAATTTACTGCCACACTATATAGCAGATTTGAGTAAATTATAAAATAACACCACAGTACCAACAACAACACAACACATGTCAAAACACTGCAAAGAAGGGCAGGGTTTTAAAGCTGCCAATGTCAACCTAGTGAATTTATAACTCCGTTAACGCAGGTAGGCTACAGCCTTTGACCTGACTTAGAAGGTCAAATAAGAGGTGCATGCAATCGAATTAGGTGTCAATGGAAAGCTGAATAGCTGCTCTAGCCAGCCATTAGGGTTAAGTAGTGAAAAGCAGCGCGATTGCTGATCTATAAGAGAAAAAGCTTGAGTTTTGACGTTTTTTCGCAAAAATTCATTTTTTATATTTGGATTCGCGACCCCTAGAACATGTTGGATTTCATTAATTCTGGCACCAATGAATTCAGGAGTAACAAAATAATGGGAAAAAACACCCCCACGCACAATTTTAAAAAAAGTGTGAAAAAATGAGCAACCCTACTGTACATTCATATTTGTCTATTGTTGAAACTAGGAATAGTATGCAATACTTAATAAAAAAGATAGTTAAAGCAGCTACCAAAAAAGGAATTAAAGTAAATAAAATAAGCATTACTTTACCAACCTGTGAGGGAATTTCCAAAGGTGCAGATTTGTCAATGGCTGTGGCTGTTGAAGTCTTCCCATTGAGGTATGCCAAAAGTTCTTTACGATCTGGACGACGTACCATAGGCATATTCGCAGCCTGTAGAGTGTAGATAGGCAGTGTTTTATAAGTTACATAATCCATAAATTGAAATCTTTACTAAAAAATAAAATAATAATAATACAATACAGTATTTAGCAATTTTTAGGGATGTTATAAAAAAATCCTTCATTTCTAGCAACAATATAACTCACAAGTACAGTATTTACATCATGCCCAAATTGTTTATAAAGTACAGTACTAATATCCCAGATCTTTTCCCCTTACCCAGAGCCCTTAAAACTATGAATATCAGATTGTCCCTTAAAAACAAGTCAGATGAAGGCACTTCTAACACCCTAGGAGTAATAACTAGTCCCATGAAGGTCAGTATGGATGACATACAGTAAATGCATCTGGTGATGGCAACCCATGCTTATCTCCATCATGGAAGACCAAGTTGCTGCCAAATGAGGGAGACAGGAAACCCACTCTAGAACTAGACAGTTTCACAACCATGAACCCCAGATACACTCATTAAGTTTGAAAAATGGTGTTAGAACTTACAGCAGCTCTCCGCACATATGAAGGATGTGTAAGGCTGACATGCTTGAGGAGGAAGAGTAGACATTCCAATGTATAGTAATTTTTGGGAGCTCCATCCTTGCCAGAACTGTAATGAAACACGTCACATATAACTCAGTACCGTACACTTGGCTTCATGGAATTTATAGCCCATAAAATGTCTCTCTCCATGCAATCCTATAGTACTGTAACATACACTGACATAGACTAGATTGTACTGTACAGATACATAGCTATACAGTATACATATTAACAGTATTGTAAATTATCATTATTGTCACAAGTAACTTCACAAAGAAAGTGGCACGGAACATTATCACTACTGGTAATTATTTTGTATGTTTTAATGGCTTTTCATGGCATATTTTACTGATAAGATTGTTTTAATTCATAGAATCAAGATGTGGCCATTTTTTTTAATTCCTACCAATCATCATGGTAACATTCTGATGGTTCTAAACTACAGTAAACTAATTATGAGTTCCATATGAGCTATGATGCCTCTACTTCCAAGCCAGGCAAATTTTCGGTAATTATTTACGACTGACCCGCCTGTGATTTAGCATAGTGAACGATTATATAAATGCCACAATTTCACTGTGGTCTATAGAGGACACTGTCGTAGTTTGTGCAAATGTTTTCTTTTTTAAACCAATCCAACCTTAACCTAAACCTAACATTAACTTTAATCTTAACCTTAACCTTAACCTAACCTAACCTAGCCTAGCCTTAACTTTAACCTAACCTAGCCTTAACTTTAACCTAACCTAGCCTTAACTTTAACCTATCCTTAACTTAAAACCAACGCATTACCGTCAAAAAGACAAGGCAGTGAGCACCTTATATGCCTAAATATCTACCAAATGAAGTTTTTTCACAAGAAATGATTATCATATCAGAACTCACCAAAACAAATAACTCGTCAGTGGGTCACTCGTTGATATTAACCTAATTTTCTCGATGTTTTGTGATAAATTGTGTTTCGATTATGAAAGAAGTGCACAGAATGAAAGTTATTCAAAATTATGAGATAAATCTATTGCATGTGTTAAATAGACCTCATTCCATGGTTGTGCGAAGGCCGCCGAGACTGAAATAATACCCAACAAGCTGCCAGACTTCCTTGAAAGTTGGTGTAAACAGTGTAAAGGGACCTGCCACTCTTTGTCATGAACAGATGAAATGTACCGGGAACTTTCCCCCCACACACTCATCATTCTCTCACTTTATGTAACTTGACAAAACCTATGACCCTTCAGGCTTTTACGCCCTTAATGTACGAGTCATAAAGGCAAGTATGAACTTTTCATACTTCCCTGTTGGGCGCTGTAAACGCTTGACCTTGCACAGGATGTAAGGGGGTGCCCAATAAACTAGCCCCCTCGGGGGCAAATCTGAATCTAAACAGTGTAAACGACTGTATTTCCCCACCCCAGGCTGGAACTACACGTTTACTTACCCAAAAACCATGTAATTAGTCTTCACTGTCTTCGGCCATGAGAACTCTCCAAAGATTATGTTGTCTCCTTCCGCAATAATCTCCTTATTATTGACATTGTACTGACGAACCATGCTCAGAGGATCCATGGTGAAGCTTGAACGAGGACGCTGAGGGTTCACTGCCTAAACTAATTTTATCACTCACTAAGTAGGAATAGCATAGAATAATGGGTTTCACCACGTTGAACAGTTAATATTTAATAGTTACTAACACCAACTTATATATTATTTATATCACATATCACTAGCTCAGGGGCGGAGCTACGGGGTGACCGAGAGTGGCCAGTGCCACCCTAGAGTGAAGCTTGGCCACCCCTCTGGCCACCCCAGTTACGCAAAGCAAAGCAGTTAGAGCAGAGAAAAAAATCATATATAAAAGCCATCCCAGAAGCTGGATGCTTCTTTTCACTTTTGCAAAAGCTATACGTCTTCATGTATAGGTCAGTGGTGCACCAAAAGTGGCTCCATGTATCCCGGTGCTCCCAGAGAACTTCAACGTGAGTGACACCCGGTGGGCATGCAGGTATATTTCCTGTCGCAATTTAATGGACAGGTTCAGTGGCGGCTCGTGCATAGGGCTGCAGAGCTGCAGTCCCCCCAGACACTCACTGCTAGGCGTATGATTCCTTTAGAGAGACAGCTGAATAATACACTACCAACAAATATATCATTTTATATGTTATTTAATTATTTTCAATACGTTGCTAAGTGAATTTTCATTAAAATCAGACCAAAATTTAAGTTACTTTCATAGTTGCTGTCAATGCTGTACGATTCATGTCTGTTATTAATTGGCGCCACAATGAGCTGCACTTGAAGCAGCTCAGTCTCGTACAACGTGTGGACGGTGTGGTTAAATCGTGCTTTCTTTAATTACCCTTTGACGATGGAAAATCGAGTGAAGTATTTGCAAAACATCAACTTTTCCCAGCTGACATTAAATGAAAAGACTGAAATCAAAGCAAGAGGAAGACCTACACCAGTTTTATCCATTGAACAGAACAGTACAAGCAGGAACAAAGAATATACACGCCAGTTTAACATCAGTGAATGACAGATTGTCTGCTTTAGCAGTGATATCCATTGAAAATAAAATGATAACAGAAATAAAGGATTTTAATGAAATAGTAATAAACAATTTTGCTACATCGAAGAGCAGACACGCCGACTTTATTTTCAATTAATACTGGTCCATCACCACCAACACTACTACCATGCCCTGGGAATTCGTGGACATCAACTACAACTCATACCTGAGGTAGGTCAAATTTGTGTATCCTACTGTTGTGTGAGGCTAATAATGTCAAATGCCAGGCCTGTGACTAGGAGGAGGGATATCTGGTCTGGGAGGGAAGAGGTGTTGGTAACGGCTGGGGACCTATAGGAGGAGGTCATAGGGCAAGTGAGGATGTAGTGAGAGAGGGTGTGAGAGTCGGGTTGGCCACAAAGTTTACAAACAGTGCGGTGAGGCTCAGGGTTGCCAATGTACTCCCATAGGTACCTGTACCCTAGGCGCAGTCTCATGTATATAAGCTGTTGAGATCGAGAGAGAACATAGAATGTAAAAGAGGAAAGTCCCTCAATCTAGATGAGTTTGTGGATACCTTTGCCAGAAATCACAAGAACCGTAGAATTCAGCTGTTATAGTCTAGATTATAATATATTTAAGGGCACAAGTGAGATGCTAAGTGAGCAGTAAAGATACTGTAGGTGTGTGCCTTTTATGCTCAACAGGGATTCTACAGAGACGCAACCTTCGTTTATATTCATTTTGTTTATTGTTACAGAAGAGTAACAGCAGCAGAGGCGTGTGTCTTAAGCTACCTTAGGTGTGTGAGGGATATTCCACTGAGGCCATACACAGATAGGGATAACAACATTAAATAATTATCTGTAGATTTGAAGCACTTATTTTTCACCACCCCAGTTTGTTACCCCAATAAAATAACTGGGTCTAACCTGGCCACCCCAGTAGAAACGTTCTGGCTCCGCCCCTGCACTCGCTTTTCCTCTCCCTCCACCCATAAACCCTGAATACCTGTGGGTTCCCCAAGATTTTTGGGGGAGAAAGGGTGATAACTCAAAAATGGCTCATTTATAATAGATATCATGGTCAAAATCATTTGAAACACACCAAAAGACATTCATGAAACTTTGTTTCAAGCTTAAAATCGCTGATAGTTCACTTATAAGGATTTACCCTCTATTTCAGAGTCCTGACCACTTTGGGCAACTAATATTGTTGGTAATTTTATTGGTTAAAATACTCGAAAAATATAAATTTCAAATGGAAATGCTATGGAATAAATTATTTTAGTTTTCTATTTCTCCCTATATAAGACTCAATATATAAATAGGTGTTGGCAACTACTAAATATTTACCAATAAGTTTAGTGTTATTTTACATCTTGCTTATTTGTGGTAAATCTATCTTCTCAGTTGTTTTTTGTTGGGCATACCTCATTTAGGTATGATAAATATAGCCTATTGATATTTTTAAGTCTATATATTGGCAAGTCTTTTGTACAAACAAAACAAAATTGAAAGTTCTTGAGAAGTGTTAAAGAAATTTCGGAAATATTTAAACCTAAACAAGACGGAGAAGCTATCCAAATCTTGTGGATATAATCCTCGAGAAGTACTGTTGATAATTAATCAATCGATTCCTAAAAAAATTTTTATTGCCTTAAAAATTGAGGGAAATTATTCCAAATGTGTCCATTAATAGGAACTACAGGTATTAGACAATGATGGCGGACTACCATCAGCCAAGTTCAATGTAACATTGTCCTTTTATATACATTACTTTAATTTACTTTATCCTCTCAAGTCTGATCCACCGGGGACTTACACCATTATATGTGTTAACTAAATAATGCCTAATGGTCGTTTGATTGTTTGGGGCCTCCACCATAATATGGATAAAGGAAATCGAGACATGACTGGAGTCTCTGATCTGTTTATGTGCATTTTTAGATACTATTCTTCATCCCAAGAAATGTATAAAAAAAATAAATATACAAAATGTCAAAAATCCTGCATCCAGTGAATAATCCCTTTATATATATATATATATATATATATATATATATATATATATATATATATATATATATATATATATATATATATATATATATATATATATATATATATATATATATATATATATATATATCAACTAGTTTTTGATAAATCCATATTTTTTATTTCTTTTTTCTCTACTGACAAACTTTCTCCAAGACTCATATTTTGTTAAGGTTGCCAAAGGCCCTGTGCACTCAACTGATATATACCAGTGTCTAAACTGTATTGTGCCTAAAGTGACTCCTGTCGGTGCTCATTAAGATCAGATTATAAATTAATGTGAATACTGTAGTATAGAGATGGAGATCATAATACAGTAATTACACATTAGTAATGCCATAAACAGCAAAGTGGAAGTATGTATGGAGCACCTTTTTCCAATACTACTGTATATAAAATTCCTGTTATTTACAATTCATACCCATCTTACATGGTACAGTTCTGTAATACCTTTCTCCGATGACACAGAATGGCTGGAATCAAGCAGCATAAAGTCCCCATCCTTTTTTGTCATTCATTATTATTACTCTAGTTAGCTATATATTAAAAACAAAAGGATTAAAAAAGATATAAATTTCAATACATTTTTATTTGGTAGACTTCTTAGTTATCCATTTATTTGTAATTCTTTCCGTATGATGCTTACTAACCCACTCACAAATGAATGAAGTTGTGTTGAAAGACAGATAAAGATAATCAAGGGCCACTTTGTGGCTCAAAGTTGCTACATTGAACAGGTAAATCAGTGATGTGGGAAGGTTAGAGTTGTAGAAGTGATCTAACCTGACAACTCACAAACTTTTGGAAACTGTAACAGAAAAAGTTCACCTTCACGTCTCTTATCTTTGACATACATTTTCACTTCTATAGTAAGAAATGTTACAATATAATTTTTAAACTATAGTTAAGTACAGAATAAATATGTGCTACATGAAGCTCCATCCAATTAGTGTGGGCAGTCATAGAATTTGACTACAAAACAAGACAAAATTTAATTAATTTTGAAATTCAAATGCAATACAATCTTGATCCCATCTTAGCTATTCAGGGTACTAAAACTCACTGACAGAATCTCTTAATGTATTTTAATCCTTGACTACTGAAATAAACATTCTGATGTCATATAGAAAACAAGTACTGTATTCTAACAAATAAAATATAATCTACAAAATAAAAATTTACAATGAAAGTGTTATCTCTCTAAAAAAGAAATTGAAAGAAAATATAATAACTATAAATATAACATCCCAGAACTAGTAAATATGACCTTTCTGTCAAGTAGAAAATAACCATGAAAGGGTATGTTCTCCAATCAATCCTCACAAAATAATTGTTACAATCTTATTATTTTTCAACAATAAACAAACCTCTTTTCAGTATTTCATTCAATGTGTGTATTGTATAATGTACACATCTTTACCCTTTACAAAATTATGATATTCTGCTCTTCTACATGTCCGTACACTTAAAACACCAGTGGAATATTTTTTCATGTTTACACACACACACATATCACTTTTCCAACAACTAAAACTCCTTTAAGTATGTTGAACTTGCTTTGTCAGTGTTTAGGGATGACAAAAGAAGAATTATGCATTTTACGGGCACCATAATGCTTGTACAAATCCTAGTTATAGAATACGAAGAGTTATAGTGCTATAAGGGCACTAAGGTACAATTGTAATGCAAAAAATTTACAGCACAAGAGAAGTGGGTTGTATCTCAAATACAGATTGGAGTGACATTACATTCATTACTTTGTGTTGTAATGTGCAGAGCCAGGCATTGTGTCATCTAATGGCTCCCAGCTACCTAACAGTTCTCTTCTCACAAGCACCACCCTACAACAATTAGGAAATGGTTTGTAGGATTTAAAATAGCTGCAATAGGGGTTAGCTTTTTATATTTTTCAGGGTGAAAAGTTATGGAACTACCACAAGCCCATCTTTTGCATAAAGTATGCCCTTTGTAAAGTAGAGATGCATATTCTTTTGAAGCTGATATAATATTGTAAAGTACTGAATAGCTGCCTTACTTTAGCAGTCTATTAAAATCAAACATATTCACATGAGTGTGTATAAATATCACAAATATAGGTGATCTTCAGTTACCAGAAACCTTTCCAATCCTCATATCTAAAAACTTTAATACCTTCTACCATGAAAGGAACAAATACTGTTTTATGATGGATAATTAGATGGTACAGTACTCTGAATTCACTGAGAATAAATTAACTTAAAGCTCACGATAGAGGTGATATGATGGCTGACTTTATTTAATTTTAAGTTAGACTAGCTTAGGTTTTGGTCAAAATTTTTGATAAGAATGATACTATACTTTATTATTACTGTCTCACTTTCTATTAATGCAAGCTTTCCCATATAACAGTTGCCAGAAACAAAATTAACATACTGCCCATGTGTTCTTTCACTCATTCTTCCTAGCTGCCTTACCACTAAATATCACACCAAAAAATACCCGTACAAATCATAGTTTAAGTGAGTCCCATAGGTGTGATGACCCATTAGGGGCAATATTGATACAACACAATGAATAAATAGCCTTTGATACAAAAGTATCAGATCTGGCACTAAACTTGACTGCCTTCACTTTCCCAACTGTAAAGATAAGTACCCAATCACAACAGGATGGGTTGAGGATGCCCAAGGTGAGAACCAGCTACCCTTAGGACAAGAGATAGGAGATGTATCCACTTAGCTGCCACACCCTTATTGGCCACTGGACCTCTTACATCATATTACTGTAATACAGTAAGGCCACATGGTTCCCATGGTGACATAACAACTATCATGAGCTTCAAGTCTGATTTGTTCTCCAAATTGCAGTGTTGCCTCATGCTGGAATATCTCATTCCTGAATAAAAACTACAGTACGTACAGTATTAACAATGAAAAGTTATGAAGATTACAGAAACTCCTTATAACACTTATTTATTTTGACTTCTTCCATGTCTTGCCTTGAAGACATCATGAAAGTTACTTTAAAAGAGTACAACACCTAATACCATACTTAATTTCCAATTGAAATGTAATAAATTATACTAGATTCATATAAACCTAACAATATTGCACATACAATGTGCATACATATTAATAAAAAAGAGGTTATATACTGTACTAAAAAAAAAAAAAATGCTTTTATATAAATACATAATACATACATAATAAATACATAAGGGACACAATGAGTTCCTTACAACTTCTAAAATTAAATGTACACTTTATTATCTAGATCACTGAATTATATATTAATAATGAGTGATCCTCTAATAATTTCTTGGGTAAACAAAACAATACATGTCAGATATTTGTTACATACCCTCTGTATTCATAAATAATATTAAGACTTTCCATTTGTTTTCCTTTTTTCACCACAGATCATGTTGTGTTTCAGGCCAGAGATGAAGAGTCATAATACTTATTAGAAAACACTTAACAAGATTCTCTGGGATACAAATTTCTAACTTTCCTGACATTACAATTATTGTGAAGACTTCTGAACACTATAAATACTGACTAAATGTGGAAATTACAAATACAATAAATCAGTAAGAGCAATAGGATACCTTACTACACTTAACTGACAGCGAAAACTTTTGTAACAATAAGGGTCTTTTGAGTCTGTGCTGGGAGTAATACAAAGATATAACAACAAACTTGTTAACACTGTCATCTTGATCATGCTGAAAATATTCAGAGAGATATTGGCACTATCTCAGAATGGAAGTGACTACCAATCTTTGGTCTTCATGTAAGACTTGCAGCACTGGGCTGCACTGTGTTGCATGGTGCTTAGTTCCACTGTCCTCCACCTGAGGGAAAATATAAGGTATAAATCAATTTTATCAATATCAAACTTCAAAATACTGAAATGGCTAATAAGTCTAATAATCCAATCTGGAGACACAGTACTGTACCTATATAAGTAGGAAGATAAGATGAGAAATGCCTGTGAAAACAATGGTGAGGGGGGAATTGACCCTGAAATACCATTTATAATTGAGCTTAGCTCAGAAGACTTGTGTATGTATAGTCAACAAGTTCATAAATTGATAGCCCTCAGTTCCCAGGACCTAAGTATATTACTAGAACAAATCCAATGATTGTTCATACATTCCTGTCATCTCTTGGCTTCTAAGAGACCTGATGGATACAGCAGTCACCAATAAAGGCTAAAAATACTGAGTTTGATCATCATCACAACAGCATCAGTGTGCTTCTTGATCATAATGCACAGGAATTTTCGTGATAACCACCGGACCTTTAAGACAACCTAGCATATTTTTAAACTCTCCATGCAAAGAAAGGATCACATGAGTCAGTAGCAAAGTACATTAACCAAAATTAATACTTACAAAAAAGATTTTTGGACACACTGAGCCAAAGAAAATAATATTTCAAAAAGTCCCTTCCAAAAGTTCTGCATGAATGACTGTAAAGATTTGCTATGGTTTTTCAGATCCATTTCCCCCAACTGAATCCCCTACAGTACTATATTACTCTCACTGAATGACCCAGTCCTGTGAAATCAGCTGTCAGATCCCCTTATGGGTTGCAATATATCCAAATTCAAACATAAAAGAACAGGTCTAATTGATCCTAAGGCAAGACAACCGGTGTGCCTACAAACCAACCTTCAACATAGAATTTTTCTTAATTCCAATCTAGCCTACACTACAATACCCTGTTAAAAACCTGGAGGACAGATCCCACATCTAGAATAAAACTATTCCTAAGATTTGTTGAGCCGTTGCACTGTGAAGTAATGGCATGGCACCAAGAGACGTTAGCATGGCACCAGGAGACGTTAGCTCTGAAAAACCAATTATAATTTGCATTTTTTTTAGCAACTGTAAACACACATGTACTTGTACTAACAACTGAGGCTAGATGGAAACTATCAAACTCAAGAGACAAATACCAGAAACTATTCATGAAGAAGTGCTTCCTTGTCTATAGAATGTAATAAGTCTGTTTATATCTGCACAGCTTGCTCAAGTGACTGGAACTTGAGGATAAGATCATGAAGTAGCACTTTGCAGCTGAGCATGATGACCAAGAAGTGTACTGGTATGATAACAAAACTCAATACTAACAGCCTTTAGTGATAATTGTAGTATCCATCAAATCCCATTAGAAACCCAGACACAATGAGGCCATTTACAATAAATTTCAGACTAGTTTCCATCATGTGTCTAGGTGTTAGGAACTACGAGTTTTTGATCAGTGGGATTATTGACTATACATATATGAGCCACCCACACCAGGCATACAGTTGTAAAAGTAGCACAAAGGTAAGGGTACTGTATTACAAGAAGAAACTTTTGAAGGGGAGCTAATACTAAGGAAATCACCTACCAAATGAGGGTATAAAAGAGATACAAAATGTTACATCCAAGCAGTGTGTTAGTGTGAGTGCTCTTATCAAATCCTTCCTCTGGGATTATTTTATGATAACCACCATTTAAACTCTTGCCAACACATCAACAGCTAAAGTAAAATATATATAAGTTCACAAGAACAAAATTAAGCATGGATGCACACACGAAGATATACTATACAGACACATAAACACACGCACATTCAATGTACATAAATATGTATTTTGCTTTGCTTATAGATATGCTTTAATGATCCTATAACTGATATGTTTTAATATTCAATACATACAGTATCTAGTTCTGAGTATTGCACATCTGCAACGAGGAACTTAAAGTAAATTATACGAAGGACCAATTGCCAAAGTGAAAATTAGTATCAAATTCAACACAGAGCTACAGAGTAAAGTACAGAGGTGATTTAGTTATGATGATATCACACATAAGTAAAAGGCACCTGTAAACAGATTAAATTTATCTACAATAAAAAGGCCATAAAAATAACATGTTTGTATACTGTAACAATCTAAGCAAATTTCCATCAATGTTCACCCTGCATGCCTCTACCTATAATGAATGAGGACACAAACATAAAGCCTACAACTGCATCATAATCCTGTAGACTTTTCCATCAACACACATTCACATTATTTACCTACTCTTCCACCTTGCTTTTGGTCTTCCTCAACATATTAGACCTCTTATCTAACTCAAATACACTCGCTCAATAATTCTCTTTCAATTTCAGCATTCAAGTACATTTTTGGGCACTATAATTTCCACAAGGAAAAAGGATCATTATAAGTACTGCATCTCTTTGATTCATCAGCCCCCTAAACTCTTCATTCTGTTTACTTTTAATCCATTTATTCTAAATCAACATATCACAGGCATACAACAGTGTGGTTTCTATAAACCCTAAAAGCCTTTATATGCCTTAAGGTTCACATCATATTTTCTTCCAATACAATTCCTAATGATCCTGATAAGCTAAGTTTTTACATTAACCCAAGAAGTAAGTCCAAGTAGATCACAAACAACTCAACTGCTAGTGAGGGATAACAAATTATGAAAACCAGGGGAACCTCACATTGATTTCACCTGCAAATGGCAAGTCTACTTGCAGCACAACTTAATTTAAAGGAAATTTTGTCCAACCTGGACCTTTAACTTACTGATACCACCCTTGGGCTGAACAATTCAGGATTTTAGTGTAAACAGTAGTTTCTCTTTCATCCAATGTACCTATGTACTGTATATTAATACAATATGCTGTACTGTAAAATAGAGTATATATGGTTTTATACCACTTAATAACATCCTCCTACAAATTTCACTTATATTCCTCCAACAGAATTTTTATGTTTCATACATATTATGCTATATATAGTTTAAAGTAAAAATTGATAGGGATGAAATCAAATTAAAATTCTTACCTGAAAGGATGAACATTAGTATCAGTGTTAAGTCTTAAAATGATCATACATCTATATCATAAAGTGCCTAGCATTACATTAATATTTGTAAGTAGTACTGTACTGTGCTCAATCTATCTGAGTTTCCAATATCCAATAAATAGCACTCATCCATACTGTCATTAATTGGCTCCATCATTACAGGCCTAAAATTTGGTAAGATCGTGATGGCCAAAGAAGAAGGACTCACCAAAATGAGGGTGTTGTGTTGTGAGGGACATCACAGCCAGTCAAAATAGAATGATGGCCATGACCACCAAGAAATTCTAAACTTCCTGTACAGTGAAACCTCCCTTAAGACAGACCTCGAGCTAACGAATACTGTATGGTCTGTTATATGGACCATCCTCTCCCATATACTGCAGTACATTATATGGAGGTTTCACTGTAGTACATTATATGGAGGTTTCACTGTAGTACATTATATGGAGGTTTCACTGTAGTCTTTATAATATATAAAGCCAAAGTAAAAATAAAGCCAGCAAAAAATGTATTAATAACAAAAATCCTAGAAGTGAATGGTGGGACAAAAAGGTGATGCCAGAGGTTTAAGAGATGTCTGACAGCACAGATAAAAGGGTCAGCAGAGCATCGTTTTTTGCCCGTGGAGACTTTAATATCGGAAAAAGCTCCATCAATTGCTGGGGAATATCTATACAAACTGAACAGTTCAGACTGTCAACTCACTGTTGTGAGATATTACTGTGTACTGTGTCTCATACCCTAAAAGACTGACTCCAAATATTCCTTACCTAGGAAAAGTTTTAGAAGTTACTTTGTATATACTGCAAGAGTATTTTTCTATTAATGAAATGAAACCACTTTATTTATATATTAAGCCAGATGGACAGTACCTGGTATAACAGTCGGCAGAAGTAAGGGTCATCTTTTCTCTTATTAATGGTTTTTTTCCAAACCACATTCACACTGCTGCAACACTAATCTGTCTACTAAATGGTCTGCCACACTCCTAAATTCTGCAGCATCATTAAAACAATGCTTAATTTCATATTATTCTATCTGTTAATTCATCCATTACTTCATTTTCTCCTACCTTTTTTGTACAGTATAATACTTTTTCTACTTCCTTCAATTTTAATCAAATAAAATATTAAAATTGGTATTCCCCTTAGTGAAGGGGTTAATATCATGTGAAGAAGTCCTAATTTTATTTTTCACAATCCTATTTCTGTGTGACTGCTTTGTTTCTTGAGCCAGACACAACAACTCACAAAGCACTCAGGTAAATGTTTCAAGTACTGCTGTTAGGTTTCAACACTTGAAGACAGATTTAAGACCCAAATAGAAGAAATGGTACAGACATTTTAGTTCTCTATGTTAAACTACAGGATGTAAATTGTGAAAATCTGGTCATACTACATTCCAAACTAAATGAGTGGGAGCAAGTGCACTAAGCCTTATAAAATGGAGAAGAGTACAGATGAAGTACTATATACAGTACACTAAAAAAAAAAAAAAAAAAAAAAATATATATATATATATATATATATATATATATATATATATATATATATATATATATATATATATATATATATATATATATATATATATATATATATATATATATATATATATATATATATATATATATATATATATATATATATATATATATATATACTGTATGCAAATAAATCACTGTAAGATTCAGGTATCCAGCTTTTTCACATCTTTAGTGAGTAGTCACCCCTGAAGATGTGAATTACACGAAAGTGCTTGGGAACTTCGTGTTTTCTTTTTCCTTGTGGTTATCAGCACATATATATATATTATATATATATATATATACTGTATATATATATATATATATATATATATATATATATATATATATATATATATATATATATATATATATATATATATATATATATATATATATATATATATATATATATATATATATATATATATATATATATATATATATATGCAGCACCCTCTGTATGCATTGCATACATACTGTAATATGACTGCACTCAATTTCCATTATGTCACACAAAACCAAAATCTCCTAAAAATTAATATACGTACTTTCTAAAGGTCTAAAATACAGCATTGTAGTCATAACTTCGTGTTTCATTCCTCATAAGAGCATAGTTTTCTATTTTTTCATGAATAGATTAAGGCAATATTGGTAATGGTACAAGTTGTGGGAAACTGCTACAAGGTAAGTGAACATGATAGCAAAGGTCAAAGAGGAAACCATTTTCAACAGCTTTTATGACTCCCTACTGTACAGCTTAATGCAATGGAAGTGATTCCATTATCCTGACAGAACCTTTTGAGGCAGTGTGGATACAGCACAACTAAACTAAGCCTTTTTTCATTACAGAAAGTGGCAGCACAGCCAGCACTGCACTCAAACACCGTCACTTTCCAATAGTAAATTTAGATATCCATCATCAGCTGGGTGTACTTGGAGTGACCTCAGCACAAACTAGCAGCCCTTAGAACAGGAGGTAAGCACTATATCCACTTAGCTGCTGCAGTGCTACAATGTAAAATTACCATAAATACTGTACAGTTCTGTCCATATTTTAGCAAGCTTCCATGCAGTGTGAAACCAAAACCAAAATCATCCTTTGAATCACAACGTTTAACTTAATGAGAGTGATAACTGTATTATTTTTTAAATGAGGTAGTGATCCTGAAATCCCATCTGTACAGTACAGGGAAAAGTCTTTAATGAATGAAATCCTAGGTTTTATAACACCAGACATGTATGACTGGCAATAAACTAGGGGAAGTTCAAATTAGCAAATTAATTCAGAAAATATTTAAAATTTTTATATTTCTTCCTAATATCAACCACAGGCCCAAGAGGGTGCATTGTGAAGTGTCAGTTACAAATTAGGGTTAAAGACTAAGAGTCTCACAGCCACACTAGTAGATATGCTTCATGATGATCAAGCTTTGACTACAATACAGCAGGCCAGGATCACCTCACTCCAGCTTTCTCCAAGGAGGAAAGAGGGAGTCTGAGCTGTCATATCTGTGCATGGCAATATAATAAGATTTCAGGGGCAATCCATCATTTATAGCCTATACACATTTCAGAAAACTCAAGTTCAGTATCTACAGCCTGCTAGATGGTAAGTGATCATCCTGGAGCTCATGTTATTAGATATTAAAGTAGCTGTGCTGTATCTGATGTGTGATCATGCTAGCTTGTATACCCCTCAAGCATTAGATGAAGTTTCACAATACACCTGGGGCATATGATTCCAGCTGGGAAGGATTAACTAATTTTAAAATATTTCCTAAATTACTTAGCTATATAATTTTTTCTTATTTAGCTCCAGTTACACTCATCAGGGGTCTCAAAACCTGAGTTTTTAAATCCCTTAGACTATCAACTGTACTCGAGATGCTCAAGATATGCATATTTAGGCTATAAAATATGATACATACCCTACATCTATTACATGCAATACAGATTGTATTTTCAAATACCATCCTTATAATACTACACTAAAATGAGCATGCACTATAATTCAGATAAATATTACAGCATAAAAGTATACACCTGCTCATCTGTCTATAACATGTATACCAGTTCCTTCATCCCAAGTAGAGTGGAACAGGAAGACTTAAGCAAAGACTTATATTACTGACCACCTCAACACCTTCAAGTGCTGTAACACCCTACACCAACACTTGAAACATGTTTACTCAGGAATTTAGCATGCTATTTGGCAGGCGAGTCAAGCAGTCGGCCAACTGCTTTATAAAAAAGTAACAATTAGTGAGATGATAGAGGATTACCTTTACAATGTGAGGGACATGGAAAAGAAGCACAAAAAAAGGACAGGAAATACTGTATTAAAAAAGGGAATGCATTAAAAGGCAAATGAACAGGAAACAGCAACCACTGAAGGACAGTGTGCAGTAGTATAATGTGTGGCAGACCACCAGCCAGTGCTGCACTATGAGTATGGCCAAGGAAAACAATCATCAATGGGATAAAGAATAATATCTCTACTCTCAGGTGAAGAGTTCTGAAATAATTTTCCACAATTAAAAGCCCAGCACTAAACCACTTTGTTTAGTAAATTACTGCTTACTCTCCCACCAGTTTAAATGATTAACAGTTTATGAGATGTACCAAGCAGTTACAAAAACTGGCTTTGGCACAGGAGAAGCTATTTTCTTTGTTTGGAAGAGACAGACAATAATCAAGATTATCTAAGGTTTAACACCAGGATGTACTGGACATTTTATCTACCAAATTAAAAAATTCAGATGCCTCTACACAAGTTTAAGAAGCACACCACACCATAGGCTACTTCTCCCCACAGAGCTCATCATAAAATGAATAACCCTTGGTGACTACCACACAGTTTGTTGTATGCAGGTATGAGAAAATGTCCTGAGAAACAACTTTTATGAGAACACTTATTTTTTAATATTTATATTTCTAAATACTATGATGGTCTTCCATATTAAATAAATTTTTCTTATCATAATTGTACTATTCAGTACAATATACGGTAATTAGAGAGAACGGAATGGTAATTTACAATTCTTCATATCTTCTTTTTAACCGCTTGTATATGGGGGTACCCTCTCTGCTGAATAACATTGTCTGGTATTAGCCAAATAAAATATTAGAAGTGGTATCCCACAGTGAAGAGGTTAAGGAAGTTGAAGGGCTGGTTTTCCTTCCTGTGTACTAGCCCTTCTATTCTCAGCCAAAAATTATGTTAAATAAATTAAGTTACCATTAAATACAACAGTGTATAAAGAGAATTGCCTATTAACACACACACCATTTAGTAAAATGATGTTATCACTAAAAATATGAGTCTCTCAGGAATTATAATACAGCATCAATAGCTCAGAAATATCAAAGCAACAAGTGGCTGAAGCCTAAAACAGATCACCAGCAGGTATTATATTATCATCTTGCAATGGTAAATACAATGGGTTCTTGCAGATTTGAGACACTAATCCTGAAAACTCCAAGAAGAAAGCTTATAAATTTTCAGCACTGGGGAAATCCAGCCAATTAATTATTTAGCATCCACCAATAAACATTGAGTAAAATGTAACAGTTTATCCTGTTAAAGGAAACTGACAATTATTTTATTGATTTTTCCTAACAAAACCCAGAAGACAACATCCTAGTTTTTGCAGGAGAAATACAAGTACTATTGTACTCTTTGGGCTCCAAAGATATATGTGCAATACAGTATGTCCTTTTCTTGGACATCATTAGATAAGTGGAAAAAAGGCAATACAGTATGTTGCTTAATTGAAGTGCTCCATTTTAATGTGAATAATCTGGTGAATCCAGTAAAACTGAGGTGCACTGTGTGTGATCGCTACCAAGAGGCGTTCAGTTGGTGATAAGGTGCTTGTGGGGGAAGAGGGAGGGACTGGTGAGCTTCCTCAACTGATGTGCCTACTGTATCTTTTTATTTTTGAGTCCGTACAGATGATCCTGAAAGTGGCCTCTCTCCACACAGAGAAAATTTATACTTGAGCAAGAAAAGTGTTAAGTATTCATTTAACTTTTACAATATACAAAATAGGCACAGGTACAGTTGAGCATCAGATGGCAGGAGGAGTTTTCATCCCCCAGATAAAATTTGGAGTTCATCTTGATATGAAGTCAATGAATATCTTTGGTGGCTATTTACCTACTACTGACAGTTTTTTTAGCACACTGCAAATTCAAAAGACCATCGGACACATTGTGAATTGAAACCAAGTTGACACAACGGAAAATCGAGAATAGAAATTTTGTATGCCAATAAATCAAAAACTGTTGTGAAGACACCAGTACCCAGGACATGCGTGACAAATTTCAGTGGTAAAATCCACACAGAAATTTGAAAAACAGAATTTCCCCAATAGTTTATGATAGATGCTCTACTGTAGGTACAAAAACAGCAGCACCTAAACACCATTCTAAGTTAAAGCCATGGCATAACAATGCCTCCACTCTAAACAGTGAGTTCTGGCTACTCTTTTACAACTGACAACTCTCAACCTGGCTGACTTTCTGCCTGTTCCCCATCTCTCGCACGAAGTGACATCAGCCCACGCCAGTCCTTCACTAGGGGTCTCTACTGTAACTGGGAAGTTCGCCTACGTGACGCTCGTTGTTTGTCGAAGCGCATCTCCATCTCCTCCAAGACTCGCGGGGTGTAGCGGACCACCAGCTTCACGGAGCCACTAGCAGCCTTCAGCAACTCGACAGCACGCTCATGGTTTTCACCTTCAACACTCTGTCAGAACAGTGTTACAATAATACCAACTGGGTTATCCTCACATCTTTCAAAACGAAATTAGCTTCTTTAAAATGAGAGAACTTAGAGAAAACTGATCTCCAATTATTACTACAAATGAAGTGTGACATGTGGCCAAATTCTTGCATCATCTTTATTAAATAAACCATAACAGTAATCACCTGTTAGCTTTCTTTTAAGATATACCAAAAACTAAGAACTGGCACTGTAGTACAAACAGTAAAAAAAAAAAAAAAAAAAAAATTTTCCCAGGAAATTTTAAGTTACCTGTATTGCATAATAACCATATTGGATTTCATCCAAACAAAACAATTCTTGAAAATATAATGACAAACTACTGTACATCATAAGCAAACTCTGTGGCCACTTACCACTCCATTGACAGACAAGAGCTGATCACCTCTCTTGAGCCCACCATGCCGGTCCGCAACACCCCCTGGGATGATGCGAGAGATGTATATGGGAGAATTTTGTTCTCTACCGCCCATTACATTAAATCCTAGACCTTCATCGGTCTTTGGTAGTTCAACAACTCTTGGATGAGCATGGCCCTCACTTGCAGCAAATGCAGCAACTGTTGCCTGAAAAAAGAATGATTAATTCTTATATTCCATTTTTGAAACTAACCCCAAGCCAGGATAGCTCTTATTATGGTGAGAGCCAATCCTGGAGGTCAACACTCACAGCTGGACTCATGATTGCACATTCCTCCCACTCACAACTATCACCTTCAAAAAAGAAATAATAAACAAAGGCTGCCCTTTGGAACAAGGGGTTCTCTAATCAGAGTCAAGCTACTATGTGATAAGTACTGATACCATAACTATGGGTCACCACCTTGATTTTAAAGCCAATCCATCATTTTGCTTAATTTCCAGCTAATTAATCATGAACCCAAGAGAGAAGAGATGGTGTCCAAGCTGCTTGGACACTCTTTGTCAGGATTACTATTAATCTTTGGGTATCACAGTCAACCCTCTCAGTGATGGACCTAAAATACCGGTTAGTCAATTATCTAAATAGATGAGACTCAATTCTGTCCCTAAGTGCCAAGTCACTTAACAGGGACATCAATATCAGCTTGAATCACTAAGATGTTGTTTATAAAAATTATGGCAAATGAAATTAATATACAGTATCTAAAATGAGAAAACAAATAATTTGTTATGTATACAGTATAATGTCCATACTCATGAACACTAGAATATGTTATGATTAAAAAACTACAAAATTTCAATTAAATTCATTTAGCTATAAGCATTGGAAAATATTGTCAGCTATATTGTGTATATTTTCAAGTAAAGAGTTCATTTAAGAACAAAGAAAATAAATTACATAGGTAAGTCTGACCATCTTACCTTGGCTGTAGCAGAAGCTCGGATCTCTGGAGAACCTGAGATGTCAACTGTCTCATAAACATGTTCATACACTTCTCGCACTGCAGTTAGGAACTCTGACTGAAGAACACGCTGAAGTGCTGCTAACTTGGCAGAAGGTATTTCCCCAGCTGTAAAGTGCTCCATATTAGCATTAATGTATCTAAACATAACCTCATTAATAGAGTAAGTGGCCAACAAAGATGTTTCTCATCTTCCCTGTCAAAATATTTTATTACCAGGGCTGTGATAAGTGACTAGAAACCATTCACTGAGTAACCACCCTAGCTAACTCTTCAATAACTACAGCAAGACAAATGACTTATAGAAAAATGCCACTAGTTTGCACCCTGTAAATTTGACAAGTTGCATACCTGTTCTCTGTTGTGTACTACCATAGTTATTCAGAAGAAAAAGGATTTTCTACTTGGGTAAAGAGTGAAAACATTAAAGATATACAGTGTACAGGAATAATTACTTACCTCTACAAGTTTCTAGATTGGTGAAATAGTTACATGATAAAAATGGTTGTACAGAACTATGAAAATTACAAAAGCCTTCAAACACTTACTCTTCTGTAGCTTATCAAGTAACTCAACAGCTCTCTTGACATCTGCAAAGAGTGAAACACGTTTATCAGTACTAAATTGTTTCTAATGATTTTCTTTTAAGTTGTCACTGGATACATTACTATAAGTACAAACGTTGTGTATGAAAAAAAAACAAAAAAAACATTTAGTTAATGGGTGCCTTTGCTATAATAAAAAGTACGGTATAACTCGGAGGTATGCTGTTGCCTAAAAATTAAATGCCTCTGGTGTTGGCATGTTAAAATCAGTTTTGTTTCTCCACATTTCTTTAGTTAAAACACAGCTTGTGGGTCTCAGAGGCTGGTAACAGAGCCACTCCACAGCATCTATGAAAGAGAAAAAAACTAGTTCTTTGTCCGGTCGTGGACCTTAACTACTTACTTCTGCTATTTGTTCAGCACTTTTTTCTAATTGGTCTATGCTGCTGATGTCATTACAAGACCATGATTACTGAATTTGCTCTCTTGCAAATATTGCTGCTATAAATGCAGATATTATCAGCATAATGATGTTATTAAATCCTTTGAGGAAGAGTAATGTGATTTAGAGAATTTTGAACAGTCTTAGTTTATGGCTTATTATAAGAGATGCCAGAACAATGTTTGTGGCCAAGAAAAGTTAAAACTGACAACCTAAACCAAGAACTGCAGTACTACAAACTAATGTACACCTGCATCAAGAGAGATAAGGCTAGGCAAGGCTAGATTAGATCATCAGCCTCAACCAATCAGAATGAATGCCAGACAAATAACGGAAATAAATAGGTTTGTTACCGGTCAAATAATCACTGTTGAAAAAAAAATCACCTGAAGAACCACCATCCTAGCTTATTCTACCTGAAGAATAACCACCTTAATGCTATTTTGGGGAATGAGGTTATGTTAGGCTAGTGTGAGGGTGACTAATGTTTACGTGAAATATGATGGCACGGAGATTCTTCCAGTGATCCAAAAATCATTTAACAATGTGTGATTTTAACTAGAATAAACCAATGATTAATATAATGTATACTCAAACTTGGCAGTACTCAGTGGTTCATTGTTGCTAATACACCTGTACTTTACTTTATCCTCTTTACCAGTGATCAGCTCGTTAGCCGCTTGAGCTATAGTGCCGGACCGACTAATTACCCAAATGTACCCAAATGTAGCCGCAATTAAGTCAAATAATGGTCCTACATGAATAAATCGGACTGCCAATCACTTCTCGACTTGTATTTGGTGTCACAAAGTAAAAAAAAATTGGAAAACTTACTTTAAGCTGAGTTAATAGATCGCGTGCATGTACCGAGGGAGCGAGTAATTACCCAAATGTACCCAAATGTAGTCGCAATGAAGTCAAACGATGGTCCTACAAGCGTAAATCGGGCTGTGAATCACTTCTCGATTATTATTTGGTGTCAAAGTCACAATAAATTGGTAAACTTAATTTAATCTGAGTTGAGTTGGGTTAGGTTAGGTTAGGTTAGGTACATGCACTCGATCTATTAACTCAGATTAAATTAAGTTTACCAATTTTTTTTTACTTTGTGACACCAAATACAAGTCGAGAAGTGATTGGCAGTCCGATTTATTCATGTAGTACCATTATTTGACTTCATTGCGGCAACATTTGGGTAATTAGTCGGACCCATAGTGTGCTGATGGTTGGTCTCCATTCGTAGGAGCTGCAGAGTAGCCACTGTAATCACGATGAACATGACAAAGTGACCTACACCCTGTCATTATTAAAAAGCTGGAAAACACAAAACCCAATTTTGATATGACTGCATCACATTCAAACTATTCTAACAAGTAACAAAACACTTTTATTCAACAGGAAAAGTCATAATGTGGCTAGTGTGTGAGCCATTAATAACGTATTCGCCAATATTCTTGGTGACATTTACACACACAACCTAAACAATGTTCTCAGTTTAAAGGTAAGACTTGACCAATCACTTCACATGTTGAGTGTTGGATAAAATTCTTCCATTCGTAGTGAGAGCTATCAAATGGTTCTGAAAACAACATGAATACAGGAGCATTCTATTATGCATAGCTTTACCTGCTCACAATAATTTGTTAATTAAGCTATTGTCAGTGACAGGTAGAGTCGACTCAAAAGGTACAGCAGAATAAAGGGCCACTTATAATATCCCATGTACGTATAAATATCATAGTAATATACGCCAGGTTTAATATGCATGCGAACAAAGTTGTCTTTAAGCGTCACAGACGTCATCAGTGTACTATATAATGCTGAATTACCTTGTTGAAGTGTGAGGGGTTCTGCTACAGACGCCATCGTTGTTGACCTCTGACGTCACTGGCCCGCCCACATCAATACAGCTCTGTAAATTTAAATGCCATTACAACTCAGCTGATGTTAAAGCTTATACGTATATATGGAATGGTCACCAATAATGATATATATTGATGTTAATATCAGTAAAGAACCTTTCAGTAAACACTGTAAAATAACATGTATCCTCTCACCTTTCTGAATTCTCTGAAATGATTTTGCGTAGTTGAGATGAGCTTTAACGCCTTGCGAAGACTAGAGGCTCTAATACTGCTCTAGTCTACAGCAGTATGGTTATGTACTTTTACTGCCCAATCCTTTTTCCAAAGAATGTCAAACAGTGTGCCCTCTTTCTTGCTTCTTGCTTGTAATTGGTAATGCAATCATGATGGAATGTACTTTCAGATGATTGGCAGTAACTACTAACTACTGCATTGTACAAGGAACTGAATCTATTGTCTGAGATAAAAGTTGAGAAAAGAATGATCAATAAATTGATATTGAAGAGAGTGGACAGCAACGAATTGGAGTTTGGGTTCATGCCAGGCAAGGCACAACAGATGCTCTACAGGTATTTTATGGTTAGTCAACTACAAGAGAAATATCTAGGGATGGAGAGAAAGTTGTACTTTGTATTTGTGGGCAATGAGAAAGTTAGGGATCGAGGAGTGTCTTTGCTACTGCATTTATATGAGGGCTTAAAAACCACTGTGAGAGCAATTGGCTAGGAAAGTAAGGATATTGAGATGAAAGTAGGTGTTCACTAAGAATCTGTCTTAAGTTCCCTTCTATTTATCATGGTGCCAGAGGCATTATCACATAACTTTTGGTCTGCCCTTGGGGTTGTTGTATGGAATAAAGTCGATGGGTCTGCGAGTGAATGTAGAAAAAACAAAAGTATTGATTAATGACATGGCCCGGTTGAGGGATCCATGGTGGAAAGTAGAAAGCAGCCATGTGGTGTCTGTAAAGGCAATTCAATAATATGCAGTGTGTACTTATGAAGTGACATGGTTTAAGTGGCAGTTTGCAGGATGCTGCTTGCTATATAGGTAATCATATAGCTTTAGCAAGGCTGAAGAAACTTAAAATTGGGGATACTGTATATCCCTGAACTGTCACAGAGTTCTGCTACCTGGGTGATCAGTGCTGAAGTTAGCTTAGTGATCTTATCCTGGGCCTTTCAGGTATTAGCTCTCAGAATCTAGAGCCTGAATTAATGGTAGACTTGATGGAGATGATCTGGTTGACATCATCTCCTATGAGTGAACATGTATAATCACTGTACAGTATATTAGCAACACAATGTCATAGATAAAGTTACTGACTACAAAGTTTTGTATTTCTCTTAAGGATCCTCAGATGACTATATTGCACCACCCTAAACCTCCTGGTATTACATCCCCAAACTTTAAATTACACAACATAGAGACTAACTAGTCTCTTCCAACACACTTTACAGAGGTCTTATTGACAAATCAATTATAAAGTTAAGTCATCAGCCATTCTATACTAGTTCATAGTTTTATTTTTCAAGTACATGCAGTAGTTTAAATGAGGGGAAATCAGGGTATGGCTGTTTGGGTTAATAAAACTAAAAACATTGTGTCAGAACAATTTGTATGGTTTTCAGATACTGTACTGTATGGTCAATAAAAATAATAAATAACAAATGTTTTAAATATCAAATTATTTATTACATCTTCTCTACAAGACAGAAGGCAAACTTATACAACAAATACTTTGCAAAATGATGAAATGGAAGGAAAGGGGCATGACAACATATGATAACACTCTTGCTAACAATACATAACTGTTAAATCCAAGAGGCATTTCCAGATCAGTTGTTCTTTCTCTTCTTCAATTTCTTTTTTAGTGAATTAATGTCAACTTCGGAATTTAGGTTGGGTGTGTTTGGCTTGTACTTTGGTTCCTCAGGCGCCACAAATGCTTTAGCTCGCTTTTCCTTCTGTTTATCAGCATTCTCTTTCTTCTTTTCTTCTGTGGGTCTCTTTCTCTTAGATACTTTCTTTTCTTCTTGGTCAATAAAGAACTTGCCCTCTGCCATTTGTTTGTCAATCTTCCTCTCTGTTGGAGCAGGTGGGAATGGAGTATAGGGCTTCTTAATCTTCTTCACCTTTGGTTTCTTCCTCTGAACGTTTTTGGCTGTAAAGTTGGGTATGAATCTTGACCAATCTCCATCCTATTGAGGAAAAAAATATAACCACATTTAAGAATATGTCTGGAAAGATCATCATAGCAGAGCACATTTTTTTCTACAGTAATATGAATGAATGAAGAGTGTTTGTTCGTAATTCCAATCACCTTGTAATAACATAGTAAAGGGTTGCAAGAGTGAAGAAAATATAACCATTTACAGTATAGAACATGGAGGAAGCTATATGTATACTGTATAATCCTTATTAAGTACAGTATACTGTACAGTATAGTAGACGATATTAAGACTTCTGAAAGTAAGAACAAAAATGATAAGAAGGGTAATACTTTAATAATTGGAAGTGGCTACTTAGCTGGGAATTACCGACTGGGCAAATTGGAGGCTACATAACCGAGATGTTAGGTTAGGCTGGGAAAGTCATGTATTCTAATATATGAGAGTAGTTAGACTTGGTTCTTTAGGTTTACATGAGTATAGTTGGTGTCAGCCTGTGTTCGCTATTCTCATGCTTCACAATTGCCAAGGTATTTGTTTGAAGCAATTCCAGTTCGGGCATTTTTTTCTCATCACTCCTGTATTGTACAGTAATGCAAGATTACATTCCAGGACTTCACAAATATTTCTGAATGAGTTAGTTGTACCAGTACTTAAAATGTTTAAAAATCTTTTTTAATGTAGAATTGCATGAATTATAACATGGCCAACTAATTTACTAGAACAAAAATAAATCTGTGAACTGCTCCCTTTTTATGTCAACATTACATCAAGTGGTCAGACAAGGATGATACCAAACATGCTCTAAAGCAAGACTAAACTACAAAAAATGGCTCCACGAGTCATAGAAAAGTTTCTTATTTGGAATATCTGGTACGGTATTCAGTTTTTACAGTATGCAGTATATGTTTATATGCAGACCAATAAACAAATTCACAAAAACATAAACAAAAACATATTGAAGGATGGACAAGATGTTAATGTATGTATTTCCATCATTATATTGTCTGTACACTGGTTTCACACTTTGAAACATCTGTTATTCTAATGTACATCACCTTGTAAAAAATGCCCAACAAACAAATCAAAACTTTTGGGTCTTGCACTATCCACCTCATTCTTACCTTAGTATTTTGGTCTTGCATTAACTGTCTCTTGATCATGAGAGCCTTCAGCAGATACACAGGATGGATGTTTTTCATAGTGTCAGTCACTACACGTATAACCTGGGGATAAATGTGAGTTCATTAAAATAATAACACCAAGTTTTGTAATGCATTTGTGTACTTAAACCTATAGAGCAGTCGTTCAGAGGACAATGTGGAGGTTGAGAAGGTCCATTATATCATTATAAGGATTACAGTTTTCCTAATATCATTCTTAGTTCCCTTTTAATGTCTTTCTGTCTTTTCTGTTTCTATTTTTTTCTATTGTCCCCATTACTGTATGTTTGCTGAGATAACCTTCATTTCTTCACATATTCATATTTCTCAACTTTATCAATCCACAGACTGTACATATATCATAAAATTCCAATTACTGTATTCCTGTCATTAAATAATGTCTACAATTCCATATTTCAGTAAAAATGTTAATACATATGCTATAGTATATAATGATTTTATAAGTAACATCTCCATTAACCGGAACCCTCCAAAACCCGGAATTGAAATTGGCTCGGAATTTTTTCCAGAAAAATTCTCTTAATTTCAGGTCTGTGAACAAGTTTTCGATGTTGAAAAACTGGCGCATTTTCTGAAAATTTCTGAAAAAACTCCTGAAAGCTCTCCTCATATTTTCCAGGTCTGGGAGCAAATTCTGAGAATGAAATACAGTACTTTTTTTTTGGGGGGGCACTCCCCTACATCCTTGTGTAAGGTGAAGCACAGAAGCGTTTACAGTGCCCAACAGGGAAGCATGCTAAGTTCATGCTTGCCTTTATGTCTCTTGAATTAAGGGTGTAGAAGCCTGAAGAGTCAAGGGCATAGAAGCCTGAAGAGTCAATGGTTTTTATGTCATCAAGTTATTGGAAGCTCCAACAGCTTGTCCCTGAATACGAATTCGCAACTTTTGATTTACACCAGGTACCTACTTTACTGCTAGGTGAACAGGGACTAATGGGGGCTAGGAAGTATGTCCGAACAACTTCCACCGGCCCGGGAATCGAACCCGTGCCATCTTGCTTGCAAAGGCAAGAGCGGTACCACTCTACCACCAGCACCCCCAAAAAATACAGTACTGTAATGCGTAAGTCTTCAAAATTCCGGAAAATCTTTCCATTTTTTTTCCGGGTCTGGGGGTAAATTCCGAGTATGAAATAATGCGGAATTCCAGGAAAATTTCATAACTTCATCAACAATGTCTATAAAAACAGATGGGATTGCTGAAAAGATATTGCACAAAATTTATATTTCCTGCTTTACCTTTCTTTCTAAATATAAAATACAATACAACAGTTAAAATGATTGATAAGAACATTGGGGAGGATCAGTACTGCTTGATTCTAGCCAGGATAAACATAAGAGATTCAAATCCCATTAGTACAAATAAGAAAACTAATATCAAATTCCAACCTGCAGAACTCCTTTGTGAGGTCCAATGGCAGCAACAGTTGCACCCTGAATCAGCACATAGCAGTTTGTAAGCAGTTCAAGAGCCTTCAGAGTAGTGCCATTTGCACCAATTAATCTTTGTCTCCGCTTCACAAATCTGTCTTTGTTACGGACCATGTTGCGGATCTGTGAAAACGTTAAATAAAAATTTTAGGTAGTTTTCTGTGCTGGAGAGAACATTGTCTTTAGTATTTTAAGTGAATGTAATAATTTTATCTGACATTTATCAAGAAAAATCTGGGCAAAAACTTGAATTTCCTTCGGTGACCTTTTACCCAAGTCCTCAAATCTACAGAACGAATTTCCTTCGGTGACCTTTTACCCAAGTCCTCAAATCTACAGAACTTATAGACAGTTCCATAATACAACCTAAAGAAAGGCTAAATTCGTTTTACAAAATAATAAAAAACAATATGGGATATAGTAAATTACCTTGACAACCTCATGTGTAACACCATCATTAAGAACCTTGACAGCCTGCTCAACAGGAACTGATCTTCCCAACAGTACAATGATGTCCCGAGCTTTTATAATAGCATATGGATCCCAAGTCTTCCTTGTTGTCAAAACTGTCATTCGTCCTTCTATGAGATCCAATTCAGCTTTGATTCCATACTCCTGTAAAGGAAAATAAAATTCTTATTTTTTTAAATATAGTTACCCTGTACTCTAATTGTATATTAAGAGCTAGAAATTACTGTTGAGGGAAAGGGCTGGGGTTGAAATCAGTAGATTTGATGGCATATTGGTTCTAATTCCTGTTATAAAATGGGATTTCCTGGAGTAATTCTTATCTTCTGAGAAAAACAAAATACTGTATGGTGATGAGGAACATAAGCCAGATTGACTTTTTGGAAATAAAAGCCCTAACCACAGCCCCACCCACATACACAAGACAATAAATAATTAAAATCATGTACTTATATCAGTAACTGAAATACTGTATACGAGGCCAAAGGTAAATCAAGACTGGTCACCCATCTAGTGTACCGAGGAACAGTTTCTTATCAAATGGGTTCAAATTAATAAATAAAACTTTGTAATATATCAATATATAATTATTCAATATAAAGTTATTGTAGTTCACAGTACAGTACTGTACAGTATATTAAAATATCAGTTAAAAATCCATACTCACTGTCATTGTTTTTTGCAGTACAGGCCAACACTCCTTAAGGTATTTCTCGCGGTATTTTGGAAAGAGAACAGAAAATGAACTTTCCTCCAGCAGATGGCTCTTCATTTCACCTTTTTTAAAATCAGGAATTTTTATGGACCAGGCATTTTCCACTGGTCCTTTGGGCAATTCTTCTTTTTCATCGTCATGATCTGACATTTTGCTGATTAGAACTTCACCTGAAAAAGTTAGGGCAATTTAATTCATATGGAATGATTCAGTTTTTTAAGAGTGTCTACAAAGCCAGGTATCCCAGCTAAGTGTATTATACTGCTAATATTGTTAAATACAGTATACCCCACTGATAAAATTTTCATGAAGTTTTCAAGTTCCCGGTGTGATTTAGTTATTATTTTTTGGAGAAAAATAATTAGAAGTGAAGGTTACATTAGGTTGGGTTATATACAGTTTCCTTTAGAGTTACATTAAGTAGGTAGGCTAGGTTGGTTTACTTTATCTCTTATAAATCATATAATGTAGCAGCAGCTGATAAGTTGTTCCACTGTGAGAGAGTTGGTGTGTATGAAATACTGTTTGGGAGAAAATTGCCACAATAGAGGTACAGTACTTTTGTTAGACCCCCACAATTTTTTTTTAAGATTGTAAGTTTATGAACTAACCTTAACCAATCTACAGTTAAGTTCATTGGAAAAAAAAAATTCTTATGAAATTTTGCAGGGTTAAAACAGAAATGACAGTGGATATTTTACCGTCACCGGCTAAGTTCCTGCTGATGCTATTTTACCAAGAGTGTGCTCTGATTGGCTCGTCATCCATTTCTGGTGAACAGCGCAAGAACTATATTTGACCATGACTCTGGTGGCATTTGGCATTTATTTAGCCGTGAGTCGATCGTTGTGTATGGAAAGTTATCATTATAAAAAAGGCGACATTTACTAGAACCTGATCTAACCAACCAAAGAAACCTACCTAACTTCCTATCCAGGAGGCAGACCCCCCCCGTCATATTAAACAGAAAGTATCTAGTTATTCAGAGCATTAGTAGGAACTTAGCCGGTCATGGCAAAACATTCACTACCAACAGAAATACCTGAATTTAGTAAGAAAGTTAGCAAAATTCTTCTACTGTACAAAATTTTTTTAAAGCTGTTGATTCTTCATGTGTGGAGGTATGAAATATAAACATGCTACAACACCTATCAGTGGTGCTCGCTGATAGGTACTGTAGCATGTAGACGGGTTCAGACCAGAAAAATCTCATATATAATATTACGCAGATTGTTGTTCATGTACAAAACTTTCTTCCAGTATCACTGTAATCATCAGTAGGATATTTTCTAATGTTGCTGGTTATCACAGGACCATGCTCCAGAATACAGCACTACCTAACCACCAAGCACTGCTGTTTGTTCCACTTCACAGGGATAAATTCAAACTAAGAGAAACAAAATATTGACATACATTTACCAAATGACTGAGGTAATTTGGCATATACTGTACAGTATTCAACTGGTACAATTACAGGTGCACCAGACAGAACATCAGAATTACTTCAATTACAAAGGGGGTGCCCCTAATATAATATACACTTTGGGAAATATATCTTCTGCTAATTAAAATTCTACTAATGACAGCAAATGCAGGCAAAAATCTCCAGTACAGTATCTACATTAGCTGTATACAGGAATATCACGTATCGATGGGTCCAACTAATTACCCAAATGTAGCCAAATATAGCCGGAATGAAGTCAAATAATGGTCCTAGATGAATAAATCGGACTGCCAATCACTTCTTGACTAGTATTTGGTGTCACAAAGTAAAAAAAATTGGTAAACTTAATTTAATCTGAGTTAATAGATCAAGTGCATGTACCTAACCTAACCTAACCCAACTCAACTCAGATTAAATTAAGTTTACCAATTTTTTTTTACTTTGTGACACCAAATACTAGTCGAGAAGTGATTGGCAGTCCGATTTATTCATGTAGGACCATTATTTGACTTCATTTGGCTACATTTGGGTAATTAGTCGGTCCGTGTATCGATAGCATTTCTTGTGTTGGCAAATCCCGCTTCTTATCCATTTGAGTAAAATTAACTCCGATTACTACGTAGATCCACTTATATTTCAATGCATTATACCTTTATTTTCTTAATAATATAAGAAAAGTCTCTGTTTCTGTTGTTAATACACGTTTATAGACAACAGATGGTCCCTTCTCCTCCACATGGGTGTTAATGTTGTGATAGTTTGTGAAGACTTTACATGAACTCTTGCAGTACTAAACTATCCTGTTGCTTCTAAAAAAATAGCACAATTTATAAGTTAATAAAAACACGAAGAAAATTTTTAGAAAACAAAATTATTATATAAGATAAATAGCATTAATATTTCACGTACCACTCTGTATTAAAGTTACAAAAAATAATATTGGAATAATTTCTTGAACGTTTGATCTGTGCTCGATTTCCCTTTATTTAAATTTTGGTCGGTACTCATATATCAGTAATTTAATGAATGAGTCCTATTGGTTACCTTCAAGCAAATTATATTAATATGTTTGATACTCTTCAGGATATTAATATACATAATATTATATTATCAGTGTGCCAAAAGTTCCATTGGTTGCAATATCTATGGTGCTGGGTGTAACAGGAGGTAAGTATAAATCAATAGCCTATGACTATAACTCGTACCTTTAAATAATGTTACTGTAATTTAATAGTAATACGGTATTATGCGGTATACTGCATAAGTATATCTTTAGTATAGCATAACATAATATAACATAACCTTACCTAATCTAACCTAACCTTACCTAATCTAACCTAACTTAAGCTAACTTAACCTAACCTAAATATCATGTAGACCACACGCTATAGTAGCACCATTAGGGGAATACACAAACAAGGGAAGGTAAACTTTCTAGTGTGAGATACCTGTACATTAAATTGGACAGTTTATGATCAAGTGTTTAAGATGGACGCTTCACAACAGCAACAGACAAAAAATCTTAAGGAAGCAAACATTATTTTAGTTATTAGGCTAATATTTTATATACCAACATGAGGTATTTGTATGAGTAATAACCAAACCTAGTCTGACCTAACCTAACTTTTTATTAATGAAAGTTCATTTTCTGTTGCAGTTCTACGACTCTAATTTAAAATTTAGTTAATGAGAACATGGAATTCTGGACAGATATGACAGCAGACATCTACACGGGGTATACAGGTAAAATGAATGGTAACAGGAAAAATAAAAACGTAACATACAGTTTGGGAATGCCGTTAGTTCCTCAAAAAAAAAAAAAATGCTGTCGTGCAACCAAATATGGGGACTGAATGTACATGTTGAGTTCGCTGGCTTTACGGACTTGTATAATGACGGCAAGACGGAAAATACCGGTGGCATGCCACAGGCGAAGTGAAGCAGTATCATTATTGAGATCAACATACTGTTCGCAGGTTTATAAATGATGGATAGGAGAAGAGGGTGTTCATGCTACTTTATTTATTTATTTATCTTTTTTTAGGGGGGGGGGGGGGCAAGACTCCTTGCTTATGGACCACTCCTCAGTCGTGATTTGGCTTTAACTTTGACCTTGAGGTTATAATGTTAATATGGACAGCTTCCCCAGGCAGCGACATTATCTTCAGATTTCTTGCTCTTATGCAATCGTACTGCAACCGTGCAACGTTACGTTCTTGATAATGTGCTCACCAAGGTCATTATATCATGAATGAAGTAACTAACGATGAGAAAAAGGAATGAGTAAATAATGTGAAGAGAAGGGTGGAGAGATATAAAACGAGTGTAGATATTTACACAGTTGTGGCAGTGAATGTGTGGTAGACCATCAGGTCTCTACTGTCACCTGTGCGTCAATGAGGTTAATAGGAAATTGCTAATGAAAGAGGATGTTTGCTGAATCAAACTTCTGACCTCCCTGCAATCATAGTAATGTTTACAACAAGAAATGATGGCTGCAATCGCGGCAATATTTGCCACGAGAAATGATGATTGCTTTTCGACAGGTGTCTGCATTACAGGACCTCGGTGTGCATCAGTCAGTGGTCACGTGATGCATGTGATGCGACACATGTCAACACACTTGTCACCACCTGCTAATACGTTCTATTGCTTGACACATCCAATTACTGATCAACATTTGGTGAGGCTGCCAAAATGTTATCATTTTTGTTTTGCGACGGTAAATATTTAGTGAGACAAATTAGGTCAAATCATTGGCCCGAAATGATATTGCTAAAACGATTGCTTTTGATTATTTCATTGCTCGCTAGCAAAGTCAACACGTACGTACGGCATATTTCATCATATGTATGTAGTGTGTTCAAAAGTGACCACCCGTTAACTATGTATTACCGCTATCCTACAAATCCAGATGAGTTTTGTTTAAATTGGAAAGTAAGCATCCACATGTCACCGCTAATCTGCTATCTATTCTAATTTCTCTGCTTTCACAAAATTAGTTTAAAATTCCTGATGATGTAAATTAAAAGTTCTATTAGTCAGCCAAGCTTAATCCAGGATTATAAAATTGCTGGAAAATGGTGTAATAAAACCAATTAGGCCTGCTAATAATGACAAATATATTTGGCGGTACAGGCTACTTGTTACTTGATTTCATAGTTTAACAAATCTAAGAATCTTTGAGGAATTTAAAATTATTTTAAGCTGAAAATATCTCTTTCGATACTGTCAAGTTCGGGGAAAAATACTGTCGGATTTATAATGTTTAGTTCCTTTGTAACTTTCTAGTAACCTTTGTAGCTGCTTCTGTAATAAAAGTTGACTGTTTATAGAGTTTAAATGGAATAATCGGTTTAGAATGTAATAGCGACTCTTGGTAAACGGTGGCGAACCAAGTGTCTTGTAATCTCACCAAGATAAGTGACGAAAAATTAAGGAAAATATGTAAACAAGAATATGTGTCAAGGGAAATACGATAAGATAATTAATTAAATATTCCTTGTAATTATAAAAAAAATGTTGACAGGATACATTGCAGAGAACTTTGATACTCCATTCAGCTTTAATTGTGGGAAATATTGAAACAATTGATCAATGAAGAAAGTAATTAAAAGACAAATATTACTTTAGTATTTATTGAATTATTATTTAACCTTTTCTTGGGCGCAATGTGCCTTTTTATTAATCAATGTATTTTTTCAAGACTATGAAGTTGGCTAGAGTTTGTTCCGTTCCGATGGCTCTTTAACTATTAATTTACTATAAACCGAGGAACTCGTAAAAATCAATTTTTTTTGTCAGATGAGGAAAACAGACTGAAGCAAAAGGGTGAATGGTTTTATAAGCAAATTAATAAACATGCGGTGGCAATAATAATCACGGGCGCCTCATGCTGCTATGCATGATGAAAGACTATAATAAGACGGGAGAGCTCAGACATTCACAAGTAATGGTTAACACACGAACGAACGCACAAATTTGGTAGTGCGGCGGATAGATGTCGCTAGTGTGGAGCGCGTCGTCTGCTAGTTTACACATTGAATATGACAATCGGAATCCGCCCACGACCGCTAAATACAAATATATACAGTATATATAAATAAATATGTGAAAAACACTTTGTTATCCTGCTGATAATTGTATATAGTTAATAAATATGATTTAAAACGTGCGTATTTAAAAGCGGACTAATTTTATGAAAACATTATTATTCAGCACCTTGTTGAGAAAGGTACTTGGTAGTGCGTTCAATAGATGGCGCGCTGTTCGCTCTGAGAAAATATTACACCTAGTTGTGTTGTTTATGCGTGAGGTTTCCCGTCTTTTCTTAGTCTTTGGCATGATCTACTTGCCCTGACGAGACTATTAGCGATTCAGCGTCAGTGCGAAGTTTCGATTGCCGGAAAAGGAAGTGCGCATGCGTGATTAGCCATTTCTCGTCACCTGTGAAACTGTGTTAATAAGCCGTTCACTAACTTGACATTGAAAATATAGGCTTGAGCGTTATTCTTGTGTAATTAAGAGTGTTTAACGAGGAAGTCAATTTAAAGAACGACTTGCTGGTCCGAGTTAAAAGGCTGGCGCTTGGCGGTGGTAGAAAAAAAAAAGAGCGCACTATCAGTTCTTAAATATTCCGCCAGATCCAGAAAATGTTTATAACTATAGACGATTGAAAAATATTAAGAAAAAGTGAAGTGAAGAAAAAAACACCAGTATATTAAGGTAAGTAATAAAAAATTGTTTCATACGAGTCGAATGTTCTAGAATATGATCGTGCCATATGCCCTTATTTACACACTATATTTTTTTTAGGTATATGATTTTCTACCACAACGATAACAATATTTGTGTAAATGGTTAGTTTACATTTGATACTTTATAATTATCTTGATGTGTGTTGATGAGAGCTTAAGTGGTGTATTTGTTTTATTGCTTAGAATGATATCCAGTAATGGTGACCAAGGGGGGAATTAAATGCTGGGTAAAGACGACGTGTAAAGCAGAACACACGAACTAACTACATCAAATCAAGCCAAAACGTTAACAGAGATCAATAAGTTATACGTTTGGTTTTGTTAGTGTAGACAGCTTGATAAATGGTCTATACACGCACTTCTTTCTCCTCCACGAGATTTGCATATCGTGAAAAAAATCAGGGAGACTTTTAAATAGCGAAAAGTAATGATGCGTCTGACGTGGAGCTTTAACTTTGGGAGATATATAGTACACCTCGGTAAATTTCCCTGTCCTTGCTTCTAATAGAGATACTGAATGTTAATAAATAGAAAAATAGGGCAAAGGTGCGTGTAGTTTAAAGGGACAGACATGAACGAACCATTCATGACAATAGAAAAGCGAACCAACCAAGCCAAACCCAACCAAACTATTTTATTGGTTAGGGAAGGTAAGAATTCATTGGTTACTTTAATCTAATATTAATATTTTCATCATATCTGACCCCAAAAATAGACAACATTATATATATATATATATATATATATATATATATATATATATATATATATATATATATATATATATATATATATATATATATATATATATATATATATATATATATATATATATATATATATATATATATATATATATATATATATAACAAAGAAGTCTGTCTGTCTGTTTATTTGATTATTTGTTTGTGTGTCCGCACGAGAATCTCGGAAATTATTTTACCGATCTGTAGTGATGATGGATGGTGTTATATGTAGTGATGGTGGGTAGTGATATATGT